GTTATTCAAGAAAACATATGTAAATGAGAAAAAAAACAAAAAAACAGCAACTTGGGCTGGGTGATGTGGCTTAAAAATAAAAATATATGACTTATTAATATCAGATCTGATTTTAATCTATTTTTCTACTTTCTTTAATAAGAAAAGACATTACACATGACAGAAAATATTTTCAAAAAGTGGCTTTTATTTCAATCATCCCGTTTGTGATTTGGACATATGAGGGTCAGACTATGAGGATTTTTGTTTAATTTACAAGAATATAGTCATAAAATAAAGATGCAATTTTACCAGAAGAACATCTTAGAATTACAAGAAAAGGGACATTTTATTGCAAGTAAAGTTTTTTTTTCTGTTTTATCCACAGTTTTTTTTAAGCAGTTATGAGGCACAGTAGTAAAACATTAAACTGCCACTGGGAAAGTTACTCAACAAGTTGTTGCTCATAATTGTGTGAGTGAGTTAGTTGCTAGGTAACCAAAGAGCTGGTTAGTTGATTCCACCAACGTTTAGCTGCGGGAGGTTAAGTAGCTAAACTGCTGTTTTGGATCAGAGTTCAATAAATAATGTATTTATTTAATATTCCATAAGATGTTTTATTTATCGATAGTTGAAAAATGAAACTGAAATACTTTTATTGTGTTAAATGTATTTAACTGAAACTTGGGTTTAGTTAGAATATTTCAGCTGTTTGTTTTTGGTTGAATATTTTACGTATCACTCACCGTGGCAGTAACTTTGTCCCAGTCGGACACAAAGGCCCTGAATCCTTCTCCAAACACGGCACCAGCGGTCCTAAATGTAAACACACAGCAGCAGTCAGAACACCTGAACAAGGTCTGCCTGTCTGCTCCTGAGCACAACAAACACTTTCTGACTGAAACTCACTTTATGGACTCCAGGACGGTCTGCCGGTGCTCGGCCGCCTTCAGTCGGATCTGCTCCCGGATGATGTCTGCGTTTTCCCTCTCCACGCGCGCTCGGGCTTTCGCCTCCGCCTCTATGCGCATGAGCTCGTTCTTGTGTCTCAGCTCCATCTCGTGCTCGATTGTCGCTATAGAAACGGCAGCATAGCGACCCGATCAACCCGAGCTCAGCAGGTTTTAAAAGATCGGAGCAGTGAGGACCCTACCTTTCCTCATGGCTTCCTGTTTCTGCACGGACTCCTCCTGCTTGCGAAGGTTTTCCTCATTCAGGATTTGCTGCAAGGTGGGAAATTAAATCAGTCAGATGTTTCGGCGTCTCGCTTCAAAGTGTTTTCACCTGAGCTCGCATATGAGGGCCTCACCTGTTGCCTCAGCTGCTCCTCGTATCGCTGCCTGGCCAGCTTATCCTGGTACTGAGCTCGCTGTTAAAACGGTAGAAGACAAAAAGGTAGTCAAACGTCTTCAACCACCTGATCGCAGCGAGGTGACAAAAAGACAAAGACAGCTGTTCTCACCGCCTGGTGTTGCTTCGTCTCTTCATTCAGAGTCTTCCTCCTCTCCTCAGCCTGGATGCGTATCTGGTCACCTTTGAGCTGCTCGACTGCAGCTTCGTACTCCTGTTAAAGTCAAAACCCAAAGAAAATCTTCATAAACAGACGTTAAAAGCAAAGAATCTGGCTTTTCTATGTTGTTTTCATGATAAAAAGGTTACCGTAAGACACCTAGTAAAGCTACAAAAATGACTTACAAAGTCCATTCAAACAGTAACAAACACTCCTAGAGGGCTTTCAGGGTATTTATGCATTTAGATCTTAAATTACAGAGCATTTTTACACTTTGTGTTCATAATTTCATGATAAATGTGTCTATGCAAAAACAGTCATTTTTCACACCTTCCTTGACAGATTTTTTGTACATGATATATATCTCAATAACACAGGTCTTAGAAAGCCTGTACTTTTGAGGGACAGAAAAGAAAAAGTATCAGAAAATCAAAAATGTTCGAAATGTTTGTCTAGAAAATTTCTAAAATTAATGTAAAAATTTTCAAGGATATTTTCCACTTTTGTAATTCATAAGTGTCCTTTTCTAGAACATTTATGACATTAATCATAATGTAATATTCTCCTCCAAATACAAAAGAAAGGCGGCCATACAAAACAGCCTTTTTTACAAATATCTGATGGCACTTATTAGGTTGGACAGCTTTCTTAATAAATGAAACTGTTGTTTTAAAACAACTTTTATATTCTTCTCTGGTTATTTTTTTTTAATCTAATATTAAAATTTATTTAATGATCTGAAACTTTTGAATGTCACAATAATAAATCAAAACGCAAAGGAAATCTGCAAACAAAATTGTTGGAAATATCTTATATTTTATTGCTCTTAAAAGCGTCTTTGTACCTTCATTTTACTCTGGTGCTCCAGCTGAGTGCTCTGCTCCTGCATCCGGGCCAACTCCAGCGCTTCTTTGGCATGACCTGGCAGAGGAAAACAGCAAAGAGTTGCTTTAAATTCAGAAGATGTCTTATTACCAACACAAATATTATCTGCACAGTGCTAACGCTAATTATCGTAGCTTAACAGATCAAGTGTAAAGTAAACTAGTGCACAGAAATTCATTGCAAATACATACCTGGGGGGAATAAACCAGTTTAATGAAGTTATCACTCTTTGGTGTGATTTTAATATTTTTAAAATGTGGTACTGAAATATATCAGGACCCCATATCATTCAAGTGTGTTTTATATCCAAGTATAAAAGTCTATGAAAATATATATATTTTTTTACCTCTGGAACACCTAAAAAGCAGATTTACTGATGGCTTAATATAGGACTAAAGGTGGTTTTCTGCATATTTGAACTTAAAAAAAGAGAATGTAACACTAAAAATACATGCCTGAAATCACTAATGTTTACTTCATGCCAGTTCATTTTCCTCATTCACACCTGGAAAATAATGAAAAACTCAATATTTATTCCGTCTTACTTAAGAAATTTCTTGAATGAAAACTTTTGCCTTGAGTAAAAATAAGTTGAAGTAGTGCTACTCTTACTTGAGTACAACTTTGAGTGCTCTAATCACATTTGCTTTTATTTACGATTGGAGTATAAAAGCATGCCACACTTTTCAGCTTTCTTATTATATTCTTTCACCTTACAGTTATGCACCATTTTATGGTTTATTATGTAAAATATGTAGATGTTTTGGGGTAAAGTGATGGAATAAAGGTGCAGTCCAACGAGTATGAATACATTATTTCAAGGTACAACATCTGCAGCAACCTCCATTACAAGGTTGTGACCTTTGCACTCTCACTGAATACACGTGGATGTAGTTTAAGCTTATTTTTGTTAATTAATGGTTAAATTCACTAATTAAACTAAGAACAGGTTCATCTTTACTCATTTTATAATTAATTTTCCTTGATGTAACCAGGTTAAAGCCCCATAGAGATCAAGATCTCATCTGCAGATCTGCAGCACAAATTAAAATTGTTACACAGAACAAAGATACTTAAAAATAATTACAATAAATTAAAAACAAACAACAAAGACATGTTGTTCTGATCCAGACTGCTGCATCACTTGGGTTGAACAGCAGAATGGATCAGGATGCACATGAGCATATTTTTACCTGTTCGCTATATTATAGATGTAATAAATCCACACCGCTCTGCGCTGACCCACCCCGAACCTCTCGGAACACTTACGGGACTTGTCCAGCTCCTTGGCCGCCTGGGCAGCCCGCTCCAGCCCGGTGGGATCGAAGTTGCTCCATTTGTCCTTGGGTTTATCTCCACCGCCGTCGGAGCCTCCAGCCGGCGGAGGAGGCGGCGGAGGCTGGGTCGGCAGACCGGAAGGAGGTTCGGGCTGGCCCCGGTTCAGTCCGAACAGCCACGACATGGTATCGAGAGGGAATTAAAGCACAGTTTCTGCCGGTTCCGAGGAAGGATTACAGCTCTGTCACCGCACCTCCTCCACACGCGACACGCTAAGACAGACTGCGCATGTGCGGTGCGTAGCGGAGGTTCAGGTGAAGAACAGCAGCGCCGATTGGCTCTCTGGGAGTATTCTATGTCTTAATTGGACGTAGTAGACGTGGACATGGAGGTCATCCACTAAGGTCCCACCCACAACATGTACAGCACCCGCCGAGGGACATTACGCTTTCTTCTGATTGCGTCAGGCTGTTCCATGCTTGAAAAGTCAGTTGTTACATAGATGGATACACATTTAAATACAAAACTCCAAAGAAAAAATATCACTGGGTCGGATTTGTGTGCATCTATTAATTAATTTACTATTCAATCGACGTGTTTACTCTAGACGAGTGCAATACTCCATATTATTTTATAAATAACTAACAATAACTAATAAATAATACATTTGAAGAATTTGAATTAATATGAGTTATTTAATTTCTCTTTGGGATCAATAAGATATTTTTGAATTTGAATTTTGAATCCATCAAATACCAAGTAAATACAGTGCCAGTATCAGATATCACAGGTTTTATTTATCATCAAACCTCTGATCTTCAGGCGCTTTTAATTATTCTTTTGAAGCCTAGGGTTTAATATGCGAATTTAGATCAAATGTATAGGTGTCTACAAAATACTACAGAAACAATAGAAAATATAAATTTGTGTGCACTGTTTTTAACTAAGTACAAAAAATATATAACTTGAGAGCAAATCAAAGAAAAATCATACTTATGGTAAAGTTGTGAAACCACAATAATAAAAAAAGTTATTCAAGAGTGAATGTGGAACTAAAGTATCAATTAGAGACCGATACCGACTTGGTATCGATCTATATTTTAGATCGATCTACCCACCTCTAGTTTACGTGTTAATGTCAAAACTTTTGTTTTACACATTCAAGGCAACAAGTGGAAGCTTAAAATTATCGATATTCTTACACCAAATTCAATATTCAGACTATTCCACAGTTTGACTCCACTTACTGACACACAAAGGTTTTTTCTTGTAGTTCTGAATTAGTATATTTTAAAACTGTGCACAAAATATTAGAAGCCAGTCTTAATTTAAAATAAGAAGCTTAATCTTGTTATACAAAAAAAATTTAATGAATAAAACATATGGACATTCTCACCACAAGAAATAATATATACACTGAAACAAAAATCATCAAATCAGAAGTTGCAGGTTGCAAATTCAATCAAAGTCTTGCAAGAGTGAACATATTATCCATTAGACATGTGTTTTGGGCACTTTTTTGCTGTATTGTTGTAAAGTTGTTTTTTTTAAATAAACATCTCCATTTGTTGGGACCCCAGCACTGAAAGATTCCCATGTTAACTTTGCTTCAAGAACAAACTTTTTACTTCATCCAGTGACAAACATCAGAGTTCTTCAGGAATCCAAGGCAGATTATCAACAAGAGTGACATATGACACACACACACACACACACACACACACACACACACACACACACACACACACACACACACACACACGAGTCTGACTTTATCTTTCTGATGAAGCAGCACATGAGGAAATATATAATTTTTAAGATATTTTATATGAAAAGTATACTGATGAAATGACAAAAGTGAGGTTGAGGTCTCTGAACAACACAGCTCCTTGAATCCATGACTGTAGTGAGTCTTTTTATTGCAGCATAACTCTGGAGAGGACACCTGAAGGCTCTTTGCCGTCTCCCAGCGCCGCTCGGAAACCTTCCTGCTGCCGAGCTCGAGCCAGCTTCGCCAGCGACAGGAAGGTCCGAGGCTCCGTGATGGCAATGTCGCTGATCACACGACGGTTCAGCTGAACGCTGCACTGTACGAAGGAAGAAGGAGGAAAGAAGCATGAAGAGCTGGAAGCAAGAACACCACAGTGGTTGGAGCTGGGTGGTGACACGATTCGACAAACCTTGTTGAGGTTGTGCATGAGGATAGGATACTTCATGTTGTGCTCTCGTGTTGCTGCTGCAATGCGTGTGATCCACAGCTGAAAGCAACACAAAGGGAATACATTGATATAGTATGTGGAAAAAGCTGTAGTAAACCCAGAAAATTTTAAATAACCATAAAATATCAATACATTTAGGGGGTTTAGAGCTAGAAAAACCACTTAAAGAAAAAAATTGACTTTCTGATTTGTTGTATATTTAAGTTGACAGAATCACAAGTGCAAGACTCAAGCTGATATACTTCCATTGATACCAATTACACCAGATGATGAGCAACTTTTGACAGATTTAAACGTAGAATCTGAATCATTTGAGTTGTGAGGAGTTCAACTTTACATATCTGCTTTCTGTTAATATCCTTATTTGGGTTTATTTTTCCATCAGGCTGTCATATTCTGCTTGTATCACTGTAGATGGTTGAGTTTTGCTGCTGTAGAGACTCTGGATGCTGCAAGAGCTCATTCTACTTCAGCAAACCTAAACAACTTCTCATTTCTGGCTATGAAGCAATGACATTTTTCCTCTCGTTTGTTTCTTCCGGTGTTGACTAGAATGACAGTGAGGGTACAGACTACAGATTAGGTGCATTACAAGACTTGTTACAAATCTGTCTGGTGGTGGAAGTTAAACTGAGGCAGCAAGAAATATATTTGATAATTTAAAGTCATCTTAAAGGACTACATTCACAAGACTATATTATTTTTTATAATATATAAAGTCATTGCTGGGTATGTCAGAAAGAAATATGTCCATCCCAGGAGAAAAAATAAAAACAAATGAGCATACTGTACTCTGATTGGTTGCATTTTGCCAATCAGAGCGTGAGGTCACCAAAAGGATGCGAGAACTGAGGTTAGCTTTGGGAAGGTCATTTACAAAATGAAAAAATTTACAAAAACATAAAAAGATAAACAAAATATGTAGTTCTGTCTGTGACAAACTATATCTATAGCCAAATGATTTCATAGAAAACTTTGCATGGCAGCTTTAAATTTCAGATTTGACCTTGGGTTGCATACAAACCAGTATATCGATGTTTTTTAAACAAAGGGTTGTGTTGTTTGGCTCTCACCGTCCTCATGTTGCGCTTCTTAAGCTTTCGACTTTTAGTGGCATAGACGAAAGCCCTCCTGACGGCCAGCACGGCCAGTTTGTAGCAGCGGTTCTTCCTCCCTCTGAAGTGCTGGTGGACGAACAGCGAGAAAGGGATTTATCTCAAGCACAATGATCAATAAAAACAGTTAACGGACAGTAAATCTGCATGCTTTTATAGGTAATTAATGAAAGAACTGGAGATTTTATGGGGTTTTATGAACTATAGGATCATCGCTCCAGGAAATAGACTGAGCCTCACCCGCGCATGTTTAAGCAGTTCCTGTACTTTCCAGAACCTGTCGGGTCCACGGTTGCGGATCCAGCAAGATAACGTTAGAAATACCATTATACACTCCCGTCAGCTCGGCCCAATTCGTCCTCTTTTGTTAGAAAACAAAACAACTGTCTGAAATGACCTTAACTTCGCACCACCTGGGCACAGACTGTTATGCGAGTTTAATTATCAGACGCAGCATTATGACTGGGTCACGCTGGAAGAGGTTCGTTTGTTTTGCTAACAGCTGAAGCAGAGAAAGGAGAGTCAGTGAAGATTCCAAATTAAAGTGTTCCGATAATGATTCATTTATTTTAAAATGATATGCAGTACGGAATAAAAACTAAAAAAGAATCTAACAAAGATGACGTTAAATAATAGTAATTAAATATGTTCTTGTGAACCAAGCGACAAGGCTAAAATGAAATCGGGACACAACTGCCAACAAAACCAGCGCCCCAGCAAAGGCTTCTGGCGCAGCCGCAGTGGAAGCTGCTTAGCAGCCGGTGGAGGTCAGAGAAAAGAAACTTGGATCCGTAAAAATGTCTGTTGCTACCTTTACGTCCTTGAGCCGCTGCAGTGTTTTGGCTTTCCGCTCTCCTGCCGGACTGCTGGTAAGCTGTCAACCGGTGGAAGAAACGTACTTCCAGTCATTATTGTCGGAAGCCATCACTTTGTTTAGCTAATTTAGAGCTGAAGCACCACCAGCTTTTTCAACTGCTAAGGTTCCGTCTATGTTCTGGATTCTAGTTTACAAACTGGTTTAGGTGTTAGCTACAGATATATTGTAACATGGCTATCTTTTGTAAATCAGATGATGACGATCTAACTTCTAACGTGAAACCACGACATCTCAAAGAGTGTTAAGAAATAAGACGGACACTTTTTCCGCATTTTTAGCCTGTTAGCTTTTGGGTAATAAAGCTTCGTCATAATAAACCATACAATTTTTCATATTCAGGTAGCCATTTTGATTAATTTATATAGCGCAAAACCGTAATAATATAGAACAAATGTCAGTTCAATGCATTTTAAAACGCAACTCCAAATCATAACTTGAAAATGAAATCAAATCAATATAATGCAGTACAATCATTTAGACCCAAATTCAGTTATAATTACTATTTCACTCCTAGTTGAATCATCCATTAGAATTCAGTTTATAAAGGAGAAGTGGTAGAAAGCTGACTTTGCAGTAAGGATGTGGTGACAGTGGGAAGCATAGTTGTTGGGAAGAGGAAAAATCTAACACATATAAGCTGAGTAATGCTCTCTGGGATGACAAAGAGAATACAAATAACTAGTAGTAGCTCCTTCATGGATATATTCAGGAAGGAAAACATGTTTTAAAATGATTTCTCTTTGTGTGCTTGTGTCCAGGCAGTGCGGTATGCCCAGACAGCTGCAGCCGCAGCTGTTCAGCCCAGAATAAAGAAGTTCCAGGTGTACAGATGGGACCCAGACACACCTGGAGACAAACCCCGCATGCAGACGTATGAGATCGACCTCAACACGTAAGGCGGTCACCGTTTTCCTCTGCTCTAAGGAAACCTAGTAGATTACACTGTATGGGGGGGGGGCTACGTGGTTATTTATAGATGCAAATATGAACAGACTGGTAATTCTTTAAAACAAAATAGTTTTGATGGGAATACTGCAACACCCCCCCCAAAATTAAGGTATTCAGATAGCCTGAACTGGACCGGTCCAGTGATACCCATCTCATCGAAACAGTCCCAATAGAACATTTTACAGCATTTAATATGCAAGTTTTAAACATTTTCCTTTTAAAATTTCTCACAGAATTTTAATATTAACTCAGAACTCTCGATGATCTTCAATTTTATCATTTTTATCTGTTTTAATCTGTTGAAAATATTTATTTTATCTAAGAATATCACCTGAGCAGCTTATTTATTGATTAACGCAATCCTCAGCTTGTTTTTAGTCCTCCTCTTTTACTTTTTAAACTAATAGTATTTAATTGACTCTATTCTCTTTGTTGTCAAGGTGGTAGCAATACCACCAAACGGCCCAGTTTTCTGACTTTGAGTTTGCATTTCTTTACCCAGTTGCGGGCCGATGGTCCTTGATGCCCTCATCAAGATAAAAAATGAGATGGATTCGACTCTGACCTTCCGCCGTTCTTGTAGAGAAGGTAAAACATAAGTTGTCTCAGAAAAATCCTTTTATTGCATTGTTTCTATCTTCGGAATATGTCATAAATCAATTTTAATCCCTTTTTATCATTTACTTTGTTTTATCAGGTATTTGTGGATCCTGTGCGATGAACATCAACGGAGGAAACACGCTCGCCTGTCTCAACAAGATTGACACCAACCTCAGCAAGCCCAGCAAGATTTACCCACTTCCACACATGTATGTGGTCAAGGACCTGGTGCCTGTGAGTAAAACGTCCTGCACTTTGAAACCCATCAACTGTAACACGTTTATTCTAGGGTAGGCAAGTCACTGAAACAAATTTTACTGGACGATAAATTGTCCCAGAAGTTACTGTGATAAATGATAATATTGTTGTCTTAAGACTGTTTTCAAGTAAGCTAATGGTTATGCCATAACAACGCAAGAACACATTCTCAAATACCAATGCACTTTAAATGCTAATGAACACTTAGCACTGAAACTGGAAGAAATATACAAAATTATCTCGAAATATCTCAGAAACGACAAATAAAATAATTTTTGAAGTTTCTGTAAACAAAATTGCCTTTCAAAAAAGAAGTAGCTTGTTGAAACTAAAGCCTCAGACTGGAAACTTTATCATCCAGTTTTTGGTAGAAAGAGAGAGAAAAGAAAAAATGATAAATCATACAAAATGAAATGATTGAGCTCAGTTATCATGCAATCATGAATATTTTGATAGGTTTTTACTGATACGGTTTAAATACGTTGCATAAACTGGACTTATTCAGAAATGTTTTTACACCATATTCTGAGGTTTTACCGAATCTTTCCGTTCTGCTTGCAGGACATGAGTAACTTCTATGCCCAGTACAAGTCCATCGAGCCGTACCTGAAGAAGAGGGATGACTCCAAGGAGGGGAAGGAGCAGTACCTGCAGTCTGTGGAGGACAGACAGAAGCTGGTAAAGCTCCACCTTTGCTTCAGGAAAACAGAGCAGGTTTCCAGGGCTGGCAGGGATCTGAATCTGTCTGTCTGCTGTGTGTAGGACGGCCTGTATGAATGCATCCTGTGCGCCTGCTGCAGCACCAGCTGTCCCAGCTACTGGTGGAATGGAGACAAATACCTTGGGCCGGCTGTCCTCATGCAGGTATGTGTCCCACGTTGGCTTATTGTAGTCTCAAGAAGCTCATAAAACCGAGTCATATGTATCGTTCGGTCCCAGGCGTACCGCTGGATGATCGACTCACGAGACGAGTTCACAGAGGAGCGTCTGTCCAAGCTGCAGGATCCGTTCTCCCTCTACCGCTGCCACACCATCATGAACTGCACCAGGACCTGCCCAAAGGTCAGGCTGCGTCTATGCTGCCATGCATTTATTAAATCAGTTCATTAGGCTGTCCACACATTGTGGAGGTTAAAATATTTAGTCACAGTTTACCATTTTTTCTATTTACGATCAAATATGCAAGTGAAAATTGTATAATAATTACCAAGAAGTAAAATTACAGACTATTTAGTACAAGGAAAAACCTGATTATAGAAAATATTTAATTACAATACTGTTGCTGAAAGTTACATCAGTTATAGTTAAACTGACATTTTTCTTCCTCCTTTTTTATCGTTACGCAGAAATCCCACCACTCTGAGCTTTACTGACTCAGTGAAAATGCACAAGTCATTTAGAGTCCATTCAACTGGTTAAATAAACAATCAGTATTATTAACTATCGTGTGAATGAAAGATATTTGAAATACAGGGTTAGGGTTATATTTGACGGATGTTCCCTCTGTTTTCGTTGGCAGGGCCTGAACCCAGGAAAAGCCATCGCTGAGATCAAGAAGATGATGGCCACATACAAGGAGAAGAAAGCAGCAGCCGTTTGAAACCTCTGCTCCCCTTTTCTACAACTTGATTGATAAATTATTGATTATAAAATGCTCTCTGAGGCCTGACAGGCCTGAACACCAGTCATCTCAAACACCACATGATGTGTGTGTGTGGCTGGAGGACTTGGTGTGACACAAACGCACAAGTACAGTATGAATGCTGGAGAGAGTGTGTGTCTGAGTCTTAGCAGATGATTTTATCTCCAACTCTACTGTGTGGATGTTTGTGTACATGGGAAACACTTTGCTTCACATTAAAGTGAAAAGACCAGTGCTTTTTCTTATGTTTAGCCAAACTCCTTAGTTTTCTCCTTCTATATTTTGCACTTGTATGAAGACAAACAGTACATATGTTCCCTCCTTGCCTACAGCACTCTTTGTTTTTGATGGAAAATAAATACTTTAAGTGGCAGCAACTTGTATTTTTGTGTGTTCTGTTGGACTGAAATCATCTTTGGGTGAACATTAGTTGAAGAAAAAATAAATGTTGTAACTCATACTAATTTAAATTCTTCAATATCAAATTTATATTTTTATACTTCCATTTGCGTCTCAACTGTTATAAAAACAGACCAAACCAGCCTGACGGTTAGGAGTCTGGAAAACGAGCCGTTAGGTCACAATGAACGGGCACTCCGCCGTTACCTAGCAACCGCAGCAGAGCCCAGCCCGTTACCCAGCAACCCCAATTGGGCTCCAAACGTTTGGCCAGCTGGTTTTAGCCCTTATACAAGGACTGATGGAAAAGACGAGTGTTTTGTTGTTGACTTACCTCTAAGAAACCACTTGAAGCAACTGTTTAAGCCATTTTAACGAGTGAGTATAAACCTTGAGTTTGGGGGCGTGGCCAGCAGCAGCTTGATTGGATTTAAAGTGACAAGAGTCCCTGAAACAGCTCAATCTTAAAAGAGCTCAAAATATTCATAACTTTGCAAAAAAAAAAAAAAAAAAGAAACATGTTTTGTGTAGCTCATAGCCCTGTCCTAACCTGTTTAAGGAAGAACAATAAGTCACATTTAAGAGATGAGGCAGCTATCCTGGATGAAACAAACTTAGTAACTGGTTATCTCAAAGGTTCTCTGTATGTTTGTCAAGTAATGATAAGAAAACCAAAACAATGTGATTAAATTTGGTGGAAATTCTTCACAGAGTAGACATAGTGGGTAACAGATATATTGTGTTTTTCTCTTTTTGCCTCTGTAAGGCGAGGATTAGTTTTTGAACTCACCACAAGTGCTTTATTGAATAAAGTGCCCAGTGCAACACATTTAATTCTGGTAAAGTATATTTACTTTAAGAAAAACTTGTAGAAAGATTTGTTGAATTATTCTGCAACACAAGTTTCCCTTGTAGGACGAATCTTACTGATACATTGTAAGCTTTTAGGATCAGCTCACATCTCCTAACATGTTTCCAAGAAAACAAGCTAAGTTTTAAAAGGAAATAGTTACAGGTGTAAATTAATAATTTATCCCTTAATCCTAAAACAAAAAAGCCCCACTGGGAAACAGTGGAGCATCGCTAATACTAGTATTCAGCAGTGTTAGTTTTATTTCTGTCCTCTGACAGTGCTACACCTAAACACTTTAGTTACCATATTTGTTTTTTTGGTGGTTTTTTTAGGGGTGAGGGGGAAAAGCTGTTTAATCTTTTTTTTTTTTTTTAGGTGTATCTACCACATGGGGGCGCTGCAGTCCCAGCAGGCCTCAGCTTCAATAATACTCCCCAACTTTAGGAACTGAACCACTTAACTAAATAGTTCCTGATGAGATAAAGTTCCCAAACTGCTCCCACAGTCTTTAAAGAACAGAATCTGAGTGGAGCAGATGTCATAGTGTATAATGATGCACAGATTTACCGGAATCAGCCAATGATGTTCATTTTTTAATGCATGGGTATCGAGCCGATAAGTAGAGCTGATATTAGTGCGTCCATAATCATTTTTATTGTTTAGTCACCAATGCGAGGATAACAGGTCAGCAGATGGATACGACACGCTTCAGAGTCAAAATAAAACAAATTTCAATCAACATGGCTGCTGAACTTTCCACTCTTCCTCTTTGGGGTAGATTCATTTGTGGCTCCAGAAGCTTTGCCTGCAGCTGCAAACTTCCCCCTCAATTGATATTTGCTTCAATCAAAATGTTTTCCTTCCACTATATTTTCCAATAACTTGCTTTGTCTGTGAACTATCATCTTCTTTAGCAATGACTTTTTGTGCATCAAAAATTTGCATTGAAGTAAGCGCAAGTCTCAATTTTGAATTGAATTTTTGAAATAATTTAACTTCTCCTTCACATTGTCAGCAACTGAGATGCACTTGTAAACCGTATTGTTGTGTTTTATTCAAAGAAGTTCATTTGCATTAGGTGTTTTTGAAGATTGTAGCCTTGTTATGGTTTAAAATGCAGCACTGTGTTCGTGTGCAGATCGACTCCTGATTAAAATGAATGAGTAAGCGTTAGCCAGTCTGTGGAGCGCTGGTGTCTGGGTCGGGGGTGGGAGCAGGAGGAGGAGGGGATTGCTGATGTGGGCTGGTTCAGTGAGGAGCTGCAGGATTCTCCTGCTTTCACAGGAGGCATCCGCGCCGGCAGAGGTTGAAGATAACCGAACCAAAGTTAGGTAAGAGATCTGGGTCAAAGCTCACAAACGCATTTAAATGTCTGTTTGCTTCTCTTTTATGCTCAACACTGATGTAATTAAATTTGTCCAGAAGAATTTACTTGAATTAAAAACAGATATGAAATTATTGTGGATCAATAAATGATGGGTTATTCTGTTTTAATGGATGTTCAAAGTTGGTATGTTGGCCGTGATTTTTTTTTTTACCAGCGACAAGGAAGATGAGCGAAGAGAAAATTTAAGTTTAAAAAAAAAAACTGCTCTCCTGGGGGTCAATGAGGGCGCATTGCAAGTTGGAAATGTGTTGTCTTTGTTTGTAACTGGACTCCAAAAAAACTCAAATGGATGCCAGCCGAGCATCTCCTGTTGCTGTCCTCAGCTTGTGGAGGATGGCGGGTGGAGGGAGGCCTGGGGGTCTCTGTAGCTTGAAAGTAGAGGATTGAAGTGTGGAGAGAGGGGGGCTAATTGCTCCCAGATGTGTGCTGAGAAAACATATGGTTTCTGATAGCCACCATGATGCAGGAAAAGGAGCAGAGGGTTTGTGTGTTTGTGTGTTATGCTGGTGCACAAAGACATAAACACTGCAGTCCATTGTTTCAGTCAGAGGGTGGGATGCATAATGTGCAGATCTGTAGTTGAGGGGGAAATAATTATATTTTCCATAAAGTAGTTTCAGTCTGGAAATCAAGAGTAGGACGTTTAACGTGTGCAAAAAAGTCAGATTTATATTTTCTGTGCTTCTCCAAGGGAGCTTAAGGCTCCCATTTTTGAGCTTTTTTAGTTTCTTGGAGGACAGAAGAAGGAAAAGAGAGAGAGGAGGGGGAAGGGTTCGAGGAAATGACCAGTGAGTGTGACAGAAGGGAAATGAAGGATGTAGAGACAGAGAGGAAGAAAGGGAGGGAGGGATGAAGAAAACTCACAGGGAGATGGGGTGGGGGTGGGATTTAAGGGGGTCTTCTGTTTCTTTTCTTGGAATGCAGCTTTGACAGCGAGGAAAAAGAAAGAAAAACTCGCTGTAAGTTTTTTCAGTGTCTGCGTGAGGCCGGTGAGGGGAGAGAGCGGCGGCAGGGGGGTTGGAAAGGTGACGGAGGGAGGAGGAGAAGAAGGAGGGAGGAAAGGGAGACAAAAGGAAAACTTTCTTGTCCTCATGCTGCTTTGTTTCCGTCTTTTCCTCAGTTAAAGTCAGTCTACCTCCCAGTGACCATGAGAGTCCTCCTACTCATCTGCATGCCAGGTAACTGCATCACACCTAAAAGTTGAAAAATGCAACATTTTACTACAACATTAATAGAGGCTGGCATTTACACTAAACAAAACACCAAACTTTTCTCCCTGAATCTGCAAAATGTTTCTCAGGATGTCTTATTTATATGTGCTTAATGAGGCACTGTATGTAGCAGAAAGACTTTGTATCCGCCACACAAATTTTTTCTTTTTGATTTTTTTGTTCCACTTAAATGTTTTTAACTTTTTGTCACATAGTTCAAAGCTACTAACAGGTCAAAAAAATGCATTTTAAAAACTAAATTCACCAAATGTTGGCGCAATAGTTTTTTTTTCACCTACTCAACAATAAACTGAGCACAAGCTATGTTAATTAAACAAATTATCAGATTTTCTTCTCCCCAAAACCTCAAATGATTTTTGAAAGCCATCCAGTTTGCTTATTATTTTGGGCTCGGTTGAAGAAAACTGGAAAAAAAATAATTTGCCCGTTCTCAGTAATAAAAAACAGGATCTAGGTCAGTCTGAATTTAAAACTACTTACTGTATTTAGCCAATGTTTAATACAGCAAATAAGATCAGATTCGGGTGCACCATAGTGTACTTTAGTCAATGAGTCGATGTGCTAGTATTTACCATGATGACAAAAAGTCAACAGAAAGCTTGGAAATTGTGACCACATTGTGTTGCAACTAACATGTTGGTCAGCAGATTTTGATTTGCAAGTCATAGTTTTGTTCTAATTTATTCTTGAATCATGATAAAAAAATAAAAAAAATAAAAAACTCATTCCAGGGGCCACAGATGGCCCCCGGCCCCCACTTTGAACAACCTTGTTTTAGACTGCTAAACACATTTTAAAATCAGACACAGATTATGATTTTACTAGCTCCTATTCAGTAAACCAAAGCTAACTCCTGACTCAAAATAAAAGTTTGGGGTAAGTTGGAGAGCACTGTAGGCCTTACATGCCTCAGTTAAAGTCAAAAGGTTAAAGTGTTTATGACTCACTTGGCGTCAGTTTGATAATCACAAAGAGAAAACCACTGCTGAGCAAAAAGATCACAAAGCCTATTCTCAATATAAGAATATTGAGAATACTGAATATGGAATATTCCATTAGATGTCTATCGTGATAGATATATATATATCACGATAGACATCTGATGGAATATTCAATATTCAGTTCATAGAATATTCACTGAAAGTCAGTTAAGGGTTGGTGAAATCAACTAACTGATTCATTCTTTGGTTACTTAGCAACTCACTCTGGTTACCTAGCAACAACCTGCTGAGTAACCTGCACAGCAGCAGTTTAATGTTTTGCTACTGCTTAAAAATAAAAAACAACAGCGTGGAGAGAAAGCTGTGGAAGAAACAGGAAGTGTAACTTCAACAATTTGATACGATTTCAGATATTTAAAAAAAAAAACAATGATTATCGATATCGACTGATATGAGATGTTTGTATTGTGATACGTTCAAAATCACTCAGTTTTACTAAAAATAGACTTGCTGATTCAAGACTGGGGAAAAATATTCAGTGAACTTATGAGACAAAAGACAAAAGGAATTCAATTTTAAAGGAGAATTTCAAGTCATCAGTTGGTGAACTTATGTTTATGTGGCAGGAAAATAAGTACACTTGTAAAAAATCTAAGTCCAATATTAAAATGTATGTAATGATCTGAAACATTTAAGTGTGACAAGATTGGATAAAAAAACAACAATTAAATCTGTAAAGGGGTAAATACTTTTTTAGAAAACTGCACAGTCATTTTTCTGACCATTTGAAACCGTTAGGACCTGTTTTCTTCTTAAAACAGGATAATGAAGCCTTCCCCATCTTTTTCTTTGATAGACTATCAATTTATAGTTTATTCTCAATTATATCTGCTTCTAATTAAATGTGTTGCATAAAAGGGGGATAAATGGGTTTCTGCTTGTCTAAAGTCTTTACTTTAGACAAGCAGAAGATTCAGTGTGCATCATCATTAAAAGTTAGAAACTGTATTCGCTGCTTAATAACAGGAGAGAACGATCCGTGAATAAACATCTCATAAAGTAAATGACAAGGAGAGGAAGTGTTTCTAACATCTGCCTGTTTTTTTTATGTTGTTTTTATATTTGTCTGAACCAGTCGTGCTTGCTCAGGCCCAGTACCAGGACCAGGTTTCCTTCCCTGGTGAGTTTATTCTGAGAATATTGAGTTGCGCTGTGGAAGCTCAGCACATCTGTTCCTGATCCTCCGCTGCCCTCTGATGTTTCACCAAGCCTCCATGGTTCTCTCTGTTGTTGTTTACCGGCCGTGCCGCAGCTGTTTTCAGTTCACTCTACTGATATACTAGATGTAAACATGCTGGAGATGAAGTCATTTAATACATCCTCGCCATAATTGTTTGCACTCTCTTTCATATCGCTTTTCTTTTTGGGTTTTGATCTCACAAAATGTTTCTCTCTCTTCTAATTCACAGACTCATATGAGTATTATTCAGGTAAAATCCTCTCAATGCTCTTCAGATTTTCCGCTTTAGGTGTTAAGAATTATGAAATATTCTTAACTTTCTGGAGCAGAAACCCAGAACCCAGAGCCATTCCCCGGATCCTACCAGCAGCAAGTCCAGATTGAGCCTGCGGTCTTTCCGGAGAAGTCAGGTAAACCCGTTGAATCCTCATCCTGCCACCTTTGACACAAGACTTTCCTAAACACCAGTGTTTCGTGCTTCTTTGCTGTGTTTGGGTTCCAGATCCGACCTTTGAAACGGAGCCCACGGAGCCTGGACCGCTCGGTAAGACAGCTGCACAGCAGAGAGGACTGGCAGCTGGTTGTGGCAGAGCGAAGAACTGATTTTTATTTTGTTGTCTGATTCCCAGACTGCAGAGAGGAGCAGTATCCCTGCACCAGACTCTACTCAGTGCACAAACCATGCAAGCAGTGTCTGAACAGCCTCTGCTTCTACAGGTAGAGATAGTTCTTAGAAATAAAGAGGCTCATCCCACACTGACTGAGGTTACCGTGCTCCTGCTGCAGAGGAAATAGAAGAGGAAATAAATCAATGCATGATTTAAAAAAAAAAAAGTAAAATAAATAAATAAATAAATTCTGAATCTGAAAATATAATATTAAATAAATACACAATATGAAACAAATTAAAAGATAATTAAATAAAAATCAGAAGATTGGAAATAAAATGGAGAATTAAATAATAGCTCATTCAAATTAATGCTTTTGAAAATTATAAACATTAAATTACGTCACACTTTTTTAATCAAAAAAGTTGGGAACGTTCTTATTTTTTATTTATTGGATGCAATATTTGGCACATGAAATACTTTAAATTTTTTTATTATTAAATATTTAAATATTTATTATTTGTTTATTGCCAGTTATGTCAGAATCAGTCATCCCTAATAGCCCCGCAAGAAAACGGGACGTTTATGTTTTTAGCTGTGCTCAAAATAAAAGTCTGAACCGCATGGCATTCTGGGAGAAGTAAGCAGAGAAACCATAGACATAATATTATGTTATATATGTCATATATATTATGTCTATGAGAGGAACGTCTTTAGCCGCTCAACCAGACGGTCGGCTAACCTGTTTTTTTTTTTGTTTTGTTTTGTTTTTTACTGTATTTAGTCAAAGTAAGCACAAACAGGTATGGCAATTACAATAGTGTCATTCTAACGAAGATATAGCAGTGGCAGACTTAGAAATGGAACACAAAAGCAAAACTGGTAATAATAATAAAAAAAAAAACTACCACAAGGGAATTAAATCAGCTAAGCTAGGTTGGTGGCGTCAAGTCGCTGCTCACTGGTTACCTAGCAACGATGTGTTAGCTTAAACATTAGCAGTTTCAGGTTTTCGTCACTGTGCCTAACTGCTTAAAAATAACAAACGACTTGCAGTTAAAGGAGAAAATGAGTACAACAGCTGGAGCGGAAACTGTGGATAAAGCAGAAAAGGTCACGCCACTAGTTTGGCTGTATTTCAGATATTTAAAACAAACAAACAAACTTAGCAAAAAAGAACAATTAGTGTCGACTGGTTTCATCGTGATGAAACCAGATCAGTCAGTCTTTTTAAATATAGATTATATTTCTACAAAGCAAAGAGCTTACTATTGTAGTAGAGTAATAAACTACTCACTGACCTCACTGAATGACAGCAAGGTCAAAACACATGAAATGTGTTATGGTCTTAAAATGCTTTAAACTGGAAGCGAAAGATATGGAAGAAAACAAAAAACTATCCATCTAACAGATTGAAGAAATGCTAAAATGGAAAAAAATACTCAGCCAAGATTCAGCTTTAGGTAAATCAAAGAAGGCTTACAGTTATCTGTGAGTAATATATTAAGATAAAGCCAGGCCAAGTCCCATTGTTGAAAAAACATGGTGGTTAACATTCAAAGATATAAATGACTCAGTGCTGCATAGTGGCACAGTTTGTATCACTGTTGCCTTGTATTAGGAGTTTCCTGGGTTCATATCCCAGCCTGCGGTTTCAGGCCTATTTATGCCAGATCAGTCTGATGAATATGCTTTAACACTTGAAGAGATCATGTTGCTATATATGTGAAAATGGAAATACCCTTAAAATGAGACAAATGACCTCCAATGGACTAGTGAGAAGCAGCATACTGGTTCCAAGCCAACAAGTTTGTTTGGAATGGTCAGCCCAGACCTTAATCCAATAAAACAAAGCTTGTGGGTAATTGAAAAATAAATGTGAATGCTGCTTCCTGCCTGAAACTGTTTATCTTTGTTAGAATGTAAGTAATTCCTCCTGCCAACAGTTGTTCTGTTCTTTGTTTTGTATGTGATTGATAAATGGAAAACAACCAATAAACCCTAGTCAAAAAAAGCAGAAAGAAAACAAAGCTTGTGGGGTTACATCAAGCATATAGTTTCCGAGGTAGAACCAAGAAATGAAGAAACTATGGAACGTAGTTAAATTATCCAGAGCCAGAATACATTTCCTAGAATTTGGTAACTCCATGAAACAAACATTTGAAGCAGCTCTTATTCTGTGGAGCTAAATTGGGGCCATAAAGTTTGTTCAAAAGAAATGGAAATAATTGAATGTAAAAAAAACCCCTTGAAACTAAAACATAGTTTTGTCTTTTATTTAGTCTAATTTTTTTTCAGTTTAGATTTTTTTTTTCTTCTTTTGAACAAACTTTGTTCAAATTTTTGAACAAAATTTAGCGCCATATTTTTTATCTAAATATTAGTACAGTGTTTCACAGGAATGGAAACACTATTTTATTTTTCCTCACATATTTGAAAACAAATTTGATACATTTCTTTTCATATTGAAGTTGGAGTACAAAGTGCAATATTCCCAATGCATTTTGGGAAAAGGAAATGAAAGCCAATATTTAAAGTATATTTGGTATTTTAAACAAACTGATATTTTTGAGCACAGCAGCAGTAGATGAAACACAGGAAAATAAAATAATCTCACAGCAATTTCCTGCTTTCTCATCATGTAGATCTAAATAAAAAAACAAACATGTTTAATCCTTGTGTCTTTGCTCAGTTTGAGACGAGTTTACGTCATCAACAAGGAGATCTGCATGAGGACCGTGTGCGCACATGAGGAACTGCTCAGAGGTGAGTCCAGAGCTGCAGAGTAGAAAATCCTGACATCACTGACTGAACCGCAAACTGCACAGTAATGGGATAATAAAACTTTTTTGCTCCAGAAATTACCCATGTGTCCCACGGGGCTGCAACGACCTTCTTTAGTGAAACGAGCCACATTCATCAGCAGAAACACTCAGGAAATGAATCAGAGATCAACCACTTTTAACACAAGATGTTTATCTATCTTTAAGTAAAGACTTTAAGTGCCTGCGCTTCATTAGACTACAGTTTATGCTAGTTGTTTCAAATCATCAAATGAAACACAAAACTGCTTCCTTTAATCCAGTGGTCCAAGTCCAAGTCGCCCTGCGCTGTCTCTGCGCTTCCAAACGCCTGACTTAAATGAATGGCTGATTAACAGGCTTCTGCTGCATTTGATGGCTGCATGGAAGGCCATTCAGTTATTTGAATCAGGTGTGCTGGAGCTGAAACAGATCTAAAGCACGCAGTTCTTTAGGGGTTCTTAAATCCACCCAGCCATTTTATGGTATTAATGATTTTGGTGTCTGGAAAATGAGCTGTTTCAAAAACCTCCTGATTGTTGAGTCACACTGCGCTGTTACCTAGCAACCCCAGCAAGGCTCCAGAACGTTTGGTTAGCTGGTTTTACCGCTGTACAATGGCTGCTGGAAAAGTTTTACTGTTGACCAGGAGCCACTTGCTGCATTCTTGAGGCTCAACTTCTGTTTTTCAAAGATGTAATGTTGTATAATTACGCGTCTGTTTGCTGCCACTTTCACATATGATGTTGAGTTGGGGGGCCCAGCAGCAGCTTAATTGGTTTTAAAATGACAAGATGCCCAAAATAGTCAGAACTGACCAGACTCTCATTATCTAACAATTATTTTGCTTAAAAAAAATTAATGAATGTGTTTTTATCACCCATTTAGCTCTCCTAACCTACTCCAGGAAGCATAACATTTCACCTTTATGAATTTATTCAACTGATTATAAAAAATTATTAGAAATAGAAAACTGCGAAAAGATGATCAAATCAGACTAGGAATTATCTGGCATCTTGAAGTTCTATTTATGGCGAGCTGGATTTGGCCTCGAGTTTGGCGCATCTTAGACGATGAACTGACCTCTTTGTGTGCGTTTTCTTTCAGCGGATCTGTGCCGTGATCAGTTCTCTCGCTGCGGTGTGATGGCGCTGAGTGGTCAGTGCACGTCGCTCGGAGGAAGCTGTGGGAAAAGCTGCGGCGGCTGCTGATCCAGATCGGGAACGCTGCCAGCCGGGATACCGACTCCTCTCCCCTCCCGACTCCTCCGTACGGCTCCATACTCTTGTGCGAAAAGCACTTTGAATATTTTTGTTGTTTTTTTTTTAACGTCTGCCCAGTAGATCCTGTGTGTACTATGAGGGATCAACAATAACACTGACGGATATGCGAGTCACTGGTGCTATAAAACTTTTAGAGGTGCACATGAAACCATGAAAACTCATTTTATTCCTGTTTTTTTTTTATCTTTTTCTTTAACATTGTGCCATAATAATCTCATATTTTGTGTTTGTACTGTACGTTTGTTGAAAAGCAGTCATTAATAGAGATGATCAGGAGAGACAAGATGCTGCAGAACATCAGCATCATTGGTCTGAAGGGCCGTCCAACCACCACCTCTGTACTAATGCTTTGTAAAAATGTCACCATAAAAACTGAAAAAAATAAAATGTTTAAACTCCAGCTGCTCAGTGTGAGGTTGTGCACTTTGACTAGGCCCTTATAACATGCAAATGCCTTATATTATAGCAGAAAGGTTATAATTTAAGGCCTTTCTGCTATATTACTGCAAGAAAGGCTTACAGTATTCAATTATGCCGCAAGAACTGATCAGTACGTCACTGCCAGAGAATGCAAAAGAAAACAAATTCCTCCATGTCCTCTAGGGGGCTCCGTAGAGACCAAACAAGTAGTAAAATAATCCATTTAAAAGAAAAATGTGCATCAATTTAGATCATCATCAACTCGGGTCTTCCAAGGCTGCATAACTGCTAAATAAAATAATGTCAAATTAAATCGAATCAATGTGAGAATCACATCACTGCACCTACTGGATATAATGATACTTTAAAAATATTCAATTCCCAATTTTCTTTTTTTTATATTTATCCAGATCCTTTACTGAAAAACCCCCCATTAAATCCAGAGTTTTAAAGACTGCATAGGAATCCTGCAGGTAGTTCAGTAGTTTGTGTGAAAGATGTAATAAAATACAAACTGTCAGAAGAACAAATTCACCTTTTATTGTAAATTATCAAGGTGATCTTATAGCTCTTTTTAAGATTTTCCTCTTCTTATTCCAACTCATGCAAGTATTTGTCCAATTTTAGATTTTACACATAAACCAAACCAAGCAGTTCTAATCTTTACCTTCTGTACTAAAAGTATTAAGATGGACATACTTATTTTATCTATTTATCCTAACAAAGACGATGCTTGTTACAAAAAGAGAAACCCTGCTGATGTGGACCTGTGATAAAAATCATCCCCACAGCATGATGCTGCCACTCCTACATTTCTTCTTGCACTCTCCAGAAAACATGGCTTTAATATTCATTTAAACTCAAATGTGACTGATGTAGTTTGTCGTCAGTGTTCGTACAGCAAGGAAAAAACTACATGTGGACAATAATACTGGCTCCTAAAAAAATAACGCAGTAAAGTATAAAATAGGGTTTTATCCAACATTAGATAATTAGTTAAATCTGTTTCTACGAGAACAAACAGTGCACTTCACTTTATGGTGCTTATAAATACATATTCTTTGTCCTTTAATGATTGTAAATAATCTTAAAAATTTTAAATCCTGCCAAATGTCCAAACTCAGCAGAGAAATCTTGAAACGATTTTAATTTTTTCATAAAAACCAGCAGAAAGTTTGAGAAGATGTTCAGCCAGGACCGATTCCAGATGTTTAAGGAGCGATTAGTGGTTTGCTGGAGGTTTTAAGGCATTCTCGCATGATTGTGCTTCGTTTGGTTGTCGGTTGCTGCTCCAAGCGTCAGGGAAGCACCTCAAGAATCAAAAATGATCTCCACAGCCACAGTAAGCTGCGTTTGGAGTCACAGTACGGATTAATTTGAGTTAGAGTTTTTACATTAGCGAGGAGTTTTCCCTGAATCAGTTTCTTCCTCTCTGAGCTGCGTCTCATTTGGACAGCAGCGATGCCGGGAGAGACGGCTGCCGTCGCTTAATCTCCTGCTGCAGCTGCTCCTTCAGCGTGGAAACCTGAAGTGAGAAACAAAGATGTGGCATTTTAATCTGAAGGACTGATCACATGACTATAATCTGTAATCCAGCCTGGAGTGGGAGACACGGGGAAGAGAGGGCAGCTTTTACAGACTCCGTTATGATTAAACGGCATCTTTATCAGACTTTTAATGCATTTAAACAAGAATAAATGACTAAATAAAGTAAAGTATTACTAGATGAAGTACTTCAGAAGGAGTTAGAGATACAAATAAAGTGCTTGGAAATGTGATATCCCCCACATTTAATTATGTTACATCCACAATAGTCAATGTCTGCCACAAAGTAGTGCATCATTTTAAAGTGGAAGAGATAAATGGTTCTGGGTTTAGTCCTGATAATTCAATCTCAGGGAGTCTTTGTGTTGTTTGCAAACTGAAAAGTTGATCAGTGAGTGAATCATTTCCTAGTTTTGTTGTCTTTCTATCTTAAAGTTTCCAACTGCAGCTAATTTATTAGACCCTGTTTCAGTCATCTTCTGCAGTTTTTAAAGAGTCAAAGTCCCAACTGGGAAGCATTTAGTGTCACCTTTACCTGTTGAATCTAATCACTGATTGGTAACACTTACAGATAATGTCTGGTTTCCACAACGGTTTCGAAAGACAGGTTTTATATTTCTGGGTTTCAGTGTCTGGAAACAGCAGGGTAGATGAAAGTGGCAGAATGTTTACAAAGCTGGAACAATGAGGATCCGTTAGGCTTTACGACATAACCAGTACCCAGCTTTACCCAGTTTAGAGGCTGGTTCAGCCCATTAGACATCTGTTATGTTTCCTTTTAAGCTGTTTTAGCAACGTGTCAGTTTGGACTGTGTACTTGTTTTTTATTTTTGGAGAAGCAGCTGCTGTGCTTTTGCGTGTCCTGCGTATAAATTTGCAAATAAAGCAATTATTTTCCGTGGAAAACAACGAAGACGCCCTCGGGCACCTGTTCCTCCAGGCCTTTGACCCGGTGGCGGTGAGCTCGCTCCCTGGTGCCCAGCGTCCGCTCCGCATCCCGGAGGCTGCTCCTCATCTTCTCGGCCTCCCGCTGGACCTCGTCACGCTGCTGCACCAAACTCTCACACAGGCTGTGTGAGTGCTCCATGTCAGCCAGCTGCGTCTGCTCAGGAGAAAACACACAGGAGGCCAACGTGAAGTCAAAACGATAGGAAACGTGGCGTCCATTTACCCATGAAGTGATCCAATTAATCCGCACGGAGTGTTTTTACAGATGACCTATCTGTAAAACCCTAACTTTCTTCAACAGGTTAGGAATGGGCTATATAAAAAAAAACACCATTTTTATTACGTTTTTTGTACAAAATAATTCTTAGATTATTAAGATTTTAGTCTGATTTTAGTCTGAGTTGCTTTTGGGCGTCTTGTCACTTTAAATCCTTAGCAGGATTTTAAAGTGACATTCTTGGGTTGCTAGGTGACGGGCTCTGCTGTCCTGGTGTTGCTAGGTAACGGCACATAAGTCTAATGTGACTCTGGTTTTTGAAACAGCTCATTTTCCAGACACGAAATAACATTAACCTATTGTAAAAACAGCAACTCAGTGTTTCTTAACCATCTGGGATTTTTTTAAGAAGCATTTTAGATCCAAATGGAAGCATAAAAACATCCAAAACGTACAATCGATGCCTTTTAAATCATTATTTCAACATGAGCTGAGGTTGACCGTCTGTAACTAGTTGTTGTCACATCAAACTGATGTCTAAATTGTTTGATAAGATAAAATAAAATGTTTTGCCACAAGGAAACTCATTCCCACACTTTCATTGTTTCTAACAAACTGCTTGTTTTCAGTTGACAGGATCTACCGTCATTACAGGGTGGTGTCTAAACTTTCTCTTTCCCCTGCACAAAGAAAGTTTTCAGATTCCAGGAATAAACAAAAATGCAATACTGATTGTCTTTTTGAGGTTTCTTTAACTGGTATAGTTTCCCCTCACAAACATTTCTGCAGCCTGGGAAACGTTTGACTAAATGAGGAAATGTCTGAGGCACTAAATCTCCTTGAAATCAACAACTTAATAGATTCTGAATTCCACTAAAACTTCCTGCAGTTTTCCCATTCACTTGTTTGTGGCCTTTCTGTGGTGGGTTAAAAAAAAAAAGTTAATATGACCTAAAAATGACAGGAATTAAACTCAGTTTCTGGAGAATTTGAAAATGTTTTCTTGCACACTGAAAGGAAAAACAAGCGTTAATATTAAACATATTGATCTCAGATGTCTGTATTACCTGGGACAATAAAGCTCCTCTTTTCCTGCTTTTTCACAGCAGATTGTGAGTGGATAATTATATGCCTCCCAAGTGTAAAAAGCTGATGTAAGAATCCAGATTTTTCTTAACGTCGAACATTTGTTTGCTTTTCCTTAGCCAGCTGAGATTTCCACTAGAGCTGTGCGATGAATCGATTTGATCAATCAATCATATTTTTGGTGAAAATGAAATTTTTTGGAAAATTTGGAATTTTCTTTTTTCCTGCCAATGCACTTTTTGAGTTTTGATAATTCAGAGTGATGTCAGCACCCCGTGGGCGGCCATCTTGTTTCACAAGCATGTTTTAAAGCTTCAGTTCAACTCAAGGCGAATCTTTAGAATATCAGCAGATTTTTTTTTTATTCTTTAATTATGAGAATAAAGTCTTAATATTAGGAGAATAAAGTAGTTATTTTATGAGAACTCCAGCACAAAAAATAAAAAAAATAAAATATACAAGCTTTTTTTGCCATTAAAACAACTTTTTTCTTGTAATTTTAAGACTTTTTTCTGCTAAAATTGTCTTTACTCTGATATTATGATGGTTTTCTCGTAATTAAACCACATTTCTTCTCACCTGGCCTTCATACTCCATAACACACATCACAGAATGATAGATTGAAATAAAAGCCATTTTTTGAAAATATTTCCTGTCATTTGTAATTTCTTTTTTAGAAAAGGAAGCATGAAAAACAAAATCAGTTAAAAGTCTGAAGTTGGCTCTGGTGCGACAAATATTTGAGATTTAATTGCTACGCCAGGTGACCAGCCTTCCCCCCTGCAGTCACTGCTTAGCAGCAGTTTGGTGAAGCTTTATTCTGCTTATTGGTTTCATTTCTGATGAATCTGTTGTTGCGCCTCATCCTCACCTGCAGCATCAGTATTTGCTGCTGCGCTTCCTGAAGTTCCTGCTCTGCCGTGTTCAGCGAGCGATCCAGACGGCTCCTCTCTGCAGAAAGCCGCATGCTGCCCTCCTCGGACTTCAGCTTCTGACGTTCAACCTGACGTGGTTCACGTTTAGCTGTTAGAAACCTGAACGCCACGTCTTGTAGAGGAAGTGAACCAGGACTTGCCTTATCCAGCGTGTTCCTCAGTGCGTTCTTGTCTTTCTCCAGCCTGACCGCCTGCCTCTCTGCATCCTTCTTCTCCGTCTCCAGCAGAGCCACCGCCCTCTGCAGCGCGCGCAGTCGCTCCTCTACGACGGCCCGCTCCGTCTGGACCAGCTGGGCGCTCCGCTGGACCTCCACAAGGCTGGCCGACCGCTGGCGCAGAGCCTGAGAGGAGAACGCAGACTCGTACTTCTTCTGAAGAAACTCTGTGTCACTCACCTTCATTAGCCATAAAGTTGAATTTACAAAAATAAATTTGCTTATTAGAAGAACGTCGCTCAGTAAAAAGCATTTGAGTCACATGATCAACAACAGGATGTTACTACTGGCGAAAATGACAAAGACGACGGCAGGAAGTGGCAAGAGGATGATGGTTTGTTTTTGTTTTTTTCGGACAGCTGGCTCCACCAGACCTTTAGACAATTCACAAAAGGTTGTGCATCATTTGAACTTGAATCCATAGCTTTTCTGTAAACTGCAGTTTCTCCAAAACGGCGCATAAATAGTCGCTGCCAAGTCCAAGCAACTTGTCACTCCAACGCCTGAATCAGATGCCGACGTCTCCTCTGATCATCAAGGCTGAAGTATGAATATAATCTCATGCGTTTACATTCGTCACTTCCATGATTTTTAATGATTTATCATGTGAACAAGCTTTTTCACATGTGATTTTTATTTCATTTCTCTTTCAATGGAAACAGGGCAACTGTGAAGTTGTGTTTTTTTGACGTGAGGAGAAAATTTGTAAGAGAAGCTAATCTCTCCGACCTCCTGGGTGCTGCTGAGCTCGGCCTCCAGCTCTTCTCGCCGCAGCTCGCTCTGGCTCAGCTCACTCTGCAGGTTCTGCACGCGCTCAGTAAGGGCAGCCATGTTTCTCTTCCCTTCAGCCAGCGCTGCCCGTGCTTCATCCAGTCGCTCCTAATCAAAGCAAAACATCCATCAAATTTCAATTAACAGTTTGTTCACAGGCAGCCTTCCTTCAATCGGACCCACGAACCTGCAGGAGCCTCTTGTCCTGCTCAGCCAAGCCGAGCGTCTTCTGCAGGGCGAGCAGGCGGCTCTGCGTGCCGCTGTGGGAGGCCGTCACCTCCTGGAGGGTCTGGCTGAGGGAGGCGGCCTTTTCCTTAAGAGCAGATTCACCTTCCTGAGCTTTCAGCAGGTTCTGACTCAGCCTGTCGACGTCCCTCTGCAGCTGGGAAACACGAGCTTCTTTCTCTGCAACCTGCAGCAGGTAGAAGATGCAAAAGCAATCCATGAACCGAGTTTACATCCTGACAAAGTCTTGAATTGTCACTGATTTAGTTTAAAATGAATTGAAATCAGCATGTCCCCACTGTCATTAAAATACACGGGAATATGTTGAATAGACAGGAAGCTCTTAAAAATGTCGAGAAAATGAGTAAAAAGCAGCCAAATTCTAAAGATTTTTTTTTCTTTTTTAATATTTGAACAGGAAATGTGCAGAGAAAGATGGAGAGAAGACATCCATGCCCGCTCCGCTGAGCGCCAGACTTGGAGACGGACTGATAAAGACATTTAAAAAACGTTTGCGTTGTGTCGGACTGTAAAGCTGCTTCCGGCCGTTTCAGAGTTGCAGATGCGTTTCTTTTTCTGCAGACCTGTTTGATCAGAGCGTCGTGGCGCTGCTGGGACGTCTGGCTCTCGGCCTCACGGTCCCCCAGACTCAGCTTGAGTCTCTGCAGCTCCCCCTCCAGGCTGCGCCTCCCCAGCTCCACCCTGGTGGCCCGAGCCTCGGCTGCCTCTAGCGCCTCCCGCAGGCGCTTCCTCTCCGCCTCCAGACGCGCCTCGGCGGCCCGCTGCTTGTTCAGCTGATCCTGCAGAGGAGCGAGGAGCACAGAGTTCACGTTGGTTGGGTTTGCTTCGTCCTGGGCTGCATTGTGTCTGCTCCTCCTGTGGTGCAGGAGGTGAATCATTGTGGAAGGTGTTGGCAGCACAGGGTGACATCTGTTGTTATTCCAACTCCTGACAGCTCACTTTAATAAATCCACTGTTGGGTGCAGCCATATGGCGACGGCAGGTCGGCCGTGATCCCCGGCTGTGAGAGTGATTGCGTAAAGAAGAGCGTGTACCTGGGTGTGCTTCTTATCCGCCTCTGAGGACTGCAGCGATCGCTCCAACTCCTTCACCCGGTCGGAGAGGGCTCTCCTGTCTCTGTCTCCTCTCCTCACCGCCTCCTCCTGCTGCTGCAGCAGGATCTGAGTGGTGGTCAGACGCTCATCCAGCCCACGCCTCACTGAATGAAACATCGCAGGAGTTAACCAACTCTGAGCATTATTTCATCGTAAAGGTGAAATAATGGTCTACACAAAACAGATAATTAGATTTTAGTCTGGTCAGTTCTGCCTGTTGTGAGCTCCTTTCAGAGCCAGCTGTTTCCTGTCACTTTAAATTTAAATGAGCTGCTGTTGGCCACGCCTCCAACTCAGCTACACAGATGCATATTTAAATAATGGTTCATGTTAGAAAAGCAGAAGAAAGGCCTCCTGCACAACCAACAATCTGAATGGTAAATCAACCACAAAGCCCTTCTCTTTTCCAGCAGCCATTGTACGGCACATAAAGAGCTTTAAATTCATTGCTAATACTGTGCAAAAATACTTAAGTGACTAAATAAAAAATCTGTAGAATGTGTACATTTTTCATCTGATTAAGCATGAGAATAATCAATATACTAATTGATTAGTTAGTTGCAGCCCTATATTTCTTGAACCTTCTTGTAGCTCCTGCAAAGAGCTCTGCAGCAGAGAGAAGCGGCTCTGAGCAGAGCCACGTTCCCCCTTCAGCTCCTCCAGCTCCCGCTGCAGGACCCCCAGCTGGCAGCGAGCGTCATCCTGCAAAATCAGCAAAACAAAATATTTCCAAGAAATTAAAAAACAATAATGATTCGTGAGGCTTTGCTGTTGTGCTGCAAGTGTGTTACCCTTTCTCTTTGTGCGTCCCGCAGCTCCTGGAGGAAATCTCTGAGGCCGCTTCTCAGGGAATCTGGGTCGAGCTCAGACTGAGGCAGCGGCGTGTCGCCTCTCTCTGGAGAAACAGCACCAGAACCCAGCGTGTTGTCCGGCGTGCTTCCTCGAAACTCTGCGTCGGTCACAGCCAGAGTTAACTTCACTTTGTGCTGCAACATTTTGTGAAAATAAATCAACATATTCCTGCACTGCTCATCAAATTTACAATAAGATCTTCTAAATATTGACCTGTTTTGTACTGTGTAATCCACCAACTTACCATGCAAGTTTCATCCGCCTTTAGTTTGTTCACTCTAAAGTTTTTTGGTTTTGATGGACAAATAGTACCTAGAGTGCACAGAGCTCAGGCTCAAAACTGATGCCTAAATTAGTAAAAATGATTGGCGTTGTTGTAGACCGGACCATAAATCAATAACAATAGATAATACATATAATATAATTGTTAATAATTTCACTGAACTCCTATTAGAACAGCCCTGGCACTCAACTTCTCACAGTCAAAAAAGCAAAGTCGGTGGCATTAACTAACTCTCTCACTCTTCGGTTGCCTAGCGAGAACCTGCCGAGTAACTCGTGGTTACCTAGCAACAACCTGATGAGTAACATGGGCAGCAACAGTTTCAGGATTCGTCACAGTGCCGGATATTTGCTTAAAAATGAAAAAAAAGAACGGCGCGAAGCAAAAACTGGATAAAACAGGAGCGGTCACGCAATAGTTTGATAGGTTTTCAGATAGTTAAAACATTTGAAATGTTTTAGATATTTCAAATATTTAAAACATATATTTGAAATATGTGTTTCAAATATATGTTTTGGTATTTGAAACATATATTTTAATGTTTAAATGAAATGTTGATATCGTGATGCATTTTTCAGCCGTATCTTCCACTCCATCTTGTCGTAATTTCTCAGCACATTAACAAGACAACAAACTTCACTCAAGTGACCAGAACATGTCGTCTGTTGACCTTTAGGTGGCGACAGTGAGGAGCGCAGCGGCGAGATGCTGTGGTGGCGCGACACGCTGCCCGGTGACGTGGAGCTGCTTCCCGGACTCCGCCCCCTGCAGCCCCTGCCGCTGGCCCCGATGCCCAGCGTCCGGGTCAGCGCCGACTGGAGGCCGCTCAGCCGAAACTCCAGATCCCTCCTGGCGGCCTCGGCCCGGGTGAGCTCGGCCTCGGTGGCGGCCAGCCGGCCCTGCGCCTCGCTCAGCTGCAGGCCGGACAGGGCGGCGGCGTCGTGGGCGGCCTGAGCGCGCAGCGACAGGTTCTTGGCTTCGTCCTGGAGCTTCTTCTCGCAGCCGCGGGCGTCCTGCAGCTGAGCCGTCAGCTCTCTCTCACAGCTGCGCCAGCCGGACTCGGACTCCGTCAGACGCCTCTGGGTCAGGGCGAGCTGGCACAGAGCTGAACATTAACACAGCGCTGAGAGGACAGAGAGAGGCAGTGAAACACGCTGTCCTCACCTCCTTCTTGATGGACTCTCTGGCTGTTTCAGCTTCAGCAAGCTTCTGCTTGAGGGAGAAGACCTCCTTCCCTCGCTCCTCCTCTCTTTGCTCCTCCAGAACCAGACGAGTCTGCAGCTCTGCCACCTCCCTCCCTCTCTGCTCCTTCTCTGCATCTACAACCTTCAGCTGGAGCAAAGAAAACATCCAGGAAACTGTGATTTACAGAATATCCTGCAAACTGAGCCTTTAAAGCAGACCTATTATGTAAAAGTTACATTTTGTACATTTTTATACGTCCATTTGCACATCCGTTGAATTGTGAGTCCAATATTTTCATTTGTAACAACAGCACAGTATTTTCTGTTACAACCTTGTACCATATATCGCGAGAGTCAGCAGAAGTTTGTTAGGATCTAAAGTGACAGAAGACCAAAAATGGTAATTCCTAAAGGACCTTAAAACACGCAGAACTGAGCAAATCTAATTATCTAAAAATTATTTCATGCAAAAAATGTAGAGACATATCCTACCCTGTCAAATGAAGCAAAATAAAATAAAATATCTATGATGTAGGTCTTCTGACCTGCCTGCGGAGCTCCTGCAGCTCCCGCCGAGCCTCCAGGCGCGACCTTTCGACCTCTCTCAGACAGCTGCGCAGCTCGGTCACTTCCTTCTGAGACGACGACAGGTTCTCCTCCAGCACAGCCAGCCTCTGCTCCTTCTCCTCACACTGCCGCTTCACACTAACACACACACACACACACACACACACACACACACACACACACACATTGAGAAACAAACACCCTCCCCTCTGTAAACACACCTGTCTCCGCTCTCTCACCTGATCCTCTCCGTCTCCGCGCTGCGCAGCGTTCCTCTCAGCTGAGTGTTGGACTGGCTCAGAGCGTCCCTCTCCTTCGTGATGTCACTGAGGGCACGCCGCTGCTCCGCCGCGTCCCTCCTGCAGTTCTCCGACGCCTCCTGGGTCTGGCTCAGACGGCGTTCGGCCTCCAGCAGGCTCCGCCTCACCTGGTCTCGGCTCTCCTCCACCGCCGACAGAGAAGCTCTGCACTGCTCCAACTGGAGAAACAACCAATGCGTTCCTTCATCGTCACGGCAACTGGTCCATTGGTGCAGGTACTCATAGGAGTGTTTCACATTTTCAGCATTTTGCAAAGTCTTTTATTTAAAATATCGAGAAACAACAGACCCTAAGGACCAAAGCAAAATAAGCAAGTATGAAAAAATTTAATCTGCGGTGCACAAAAGCAGGGAAAGCCGAATTATTAAAAAAATATCAATAAAGGCTCATTATTCCCAATAGCAATTCCTGCTATAAAACATTGTGTCAGTATCATGGTTTGTTGGTTTGTTTCACCAATATGTCACATTATTAACTTTAAACAACTGTGGCGATTTAAAGATGGTAAGTTTTGAGTTTAAAATCTTGCAGGGCTGAAACTACAGATTATTTTATCAATGAATTATTCCGACTCTAAGTCGGTTAAAAAAATTGGCACATTTCGAAGAATTATTATTTAACAGCTTAAGCTTTTTTGAATGCAATATTAAACATACATAAAAATGTTAATAAAGAAGTAATTCAATTCCTTAAACATTTTATTGCCTAAAATGCAATAACTGCATTCTTTTTGATCGTTTGCAGCAAAAGAAGCATTTGCAATTAAAAAACATACTTCCAACATCAACATGAGTTCAGCCCTTTCTGCTCAACTTAACTCCTTAGTAATAGTAGTAATTATTATTATTATATTGCATTTTCATTTGTCAAAACGCCCAAGGACACTTTACATTAAAAACACAAATTAAACAGTAAAAAAATGTCTATAAACACACAAAAAAACTAAAAAGTTAAAGCGTGAAGGCTAACAGATGAGTTTTGAGTTGTGCTTGATCCGTTGGTTAATTTTTAGATTAACGACTGGATGGCAAAAGGTGCTTCTTTACAGACCCGGAACAAAGTGAAACTGAGGAAACTTTGTGCATGAGCAGCACTTTTCTACACGGGTTTTCTTCTGCGTCGTGTCATTTACCTCTTTGAGAGCGACGTCGGCTCGCGAGCGCAGATCGGTGCAGAGTTCCTGCAGAGCGTGGAGTTCCCTTTGATGAGCCGACGTCGCCTCGTCCAGCCGAGAGCGAAGCTCCAGCAGCTCACTGGTCAGAGCGCCAACTCTGATCTGAAAATAAAAAATCTGAGTCAGTAGGTTTTTTAATCTGTTAGATTGAAACAGCAGTCGGGCTGAAACGATTAATCGGACTGGTTGCGACAAATCAATTAATGATATATTTTACTAATTGATTAATCGTAAGCTGGACTATATGGACTCCAAAAAAAGGCAATTTGCTGGAAGAAGAACACTCTCAGAGCAGTAATTCAGCCAAAACTGTAAAAAAATATGAACATTTTGTAATTAAGATAAAAAACATAAACTTTGTCTGTAAACATGTTAAACACAAAACTCCTCGGTGTTCACTCCTGGTGAAGTTTTAGCTTCACCAGGTTCAACTTCTGCAAGGAAATCTCCCGGCAAGTTAATCAGTTTATCCAAAAACAGTCAACAGATCAGCAGCAGATCATAAATATTGATGATCCGTTGCAGAAAAGGCCTGAGCTTCTCACATGCTGAGCGTTTGGAGTGTTATTTAGCTGCAGACGCATCCTCTGCTACAAATGATCACATGTTCACAAAAGCTGTGCTGTTGCGTTTTAGGAAAGAAAAGGATAATTTTCTGATTTAAAAAGGAATTTGTTTATTTAAATTTATTGTATAAAAAAAAGACTTCAATGAAAAATCAGCATAATGTGTCAATTTTTTTTAATCCGACTAATCGATAAATCATAATCAGACACTAAAACCGCCACCAGCCGCAGGAGCAACTGGAGATAAACTGTCACCTGCTCCTGCTCTTTGAGTTGAGCTGCTTCTCTGGCCGTCCGCTCGGCCTCCAGAGCTGCAGCCGACAGCTCCGCCTGCAGACCCGACACTCTGTCACACAACACCGCCTTCTCCGCCTCCTTCAGCGAGAGCGCCTGTGGAGGAAGAGTTTAACAGCTCACTTGGATTTAAACCAACTCGTTTTTATTTTGTTCCACATCGAGATCATGAATGTTCCCAAGCACCGATTGTGCCAGAACGGATTGATAAAACCCACTAAATATTAATAAATAGCTGCCTCATTTGATATGCGCTTAAAATTACGTAACCAATGAACATCATCTAAAAGTCCTTTCAGGATTTTACAATTGTTTTCATGATTTTTTGCAATAAAAATGAAATATTTAGAAATATTTGCAAGGAGTTTTGTAATATTTGCACTCATGTATGATTGTTGCAGACTGAGGCAGCAGTGTAGTGGAAAAAATATATATATACCACCACCTGCTGATGAGAATTAGCATTACGTAATTACGATTATTTTTGCTGAAAATTTGAAATAAACTCACAATTATCCATTAGTGAGAAATAAAGTGCATATCTGTTGATTTTGCGTGAATTTCTGTGAAAACTGGTGGGACTGACTGATGCAATTTAGGAGTAAACAGATAAAAGCTGCATTGATTTGATTGATAATATTTACCACACAATTGTTATCTTAAAGGTTGTATTTATGATGAGTTTAGAGGCCCATATAAAGAGCCATGTTGACCCAGATTTGGCCCCCAGGCCTTGAGTTTGACACATGTGACATAGATGATGAAAAGTGGATTGAATGTGAGGATTATGAGCCTCACAGCAGCAGTGGCTGTCAGACCTGCTGTTTCTCCGTCTCGGCCTGCAGCAGACTCTGGTCTCGGTCGTGCTGCAGAGCCCTCAGCTGCTCCTGCAGCTCCTCTCTGTCTCTCTTCGCTCTCTGCTGCTGGTCGTCCATCTCCTGCCTGCAGCGCCTCAGAGCTGCTTCCTGCTCCATCTGCAAGCTGTGACGCACCACTTCCTGCAGCGCAAAGGTCAGCAGAACACACACTGAGAGCCCGTCAATGGGTTATACTTCCAAACCAACATGTTGAAGTGTTTGGGGTTCTCGCCTTCTCTGAGACCAGCCTCTCCACCTCCTCCTGATGCTCGGAGATGGCCTTGCGTAAAGCCTGCTGAGCCTCCAGCTGCGCGGCGCCGAGGGACTGAGTTAGAGTCTGCTTCTCTCTCTCTGCCTGCGCCAGGGCGATCGCATCGTCTGAGCGCAACCGCTTCAGCTCAGCTAGAAAACATCCAGGTGGACAATTTAAGTCTCGCTCAACTCACATTCTCACACTGGTTAATCCCTCCAGGATGCTGCGATGTTTTGGTGAGTTTTTGTGCCAGAATGTACTGATATTTGAGTCTGCATCTTAGTAAGCACCTCTTGAGAATAATAAACGTCTTGTCACAGTGGTCGTCCCTCCAGGATTTGTTTGTTTGTTCTAGTGATTTTTAAAAAAAATAAAAATTACTGATTGGTGGAGATAATTTCAAACTACTTGCTTATGCATGATATTAACTATGATCTTTTGTATTGATCGCCGTGTCGATCACAGAATATAAATTGGCATCAAGAAAGGCTGAGAAAAAAATACTGCCACCAGCAGGTGAGAGTTGGCATCATGTAAACCTGATGTTTTACCATTGATGTGAAAAATTTGCAGTAAATTCACAATTGAGGGTGTCAGTATTTTGATTGAAATTGATTGAAATCAGAACTCCTTTAATTTGAATGAGTGATTTAATAGATAAAATAATATTTAAGGTTGTATTTATGTGACTCTCTAGAGTACAAATGGCCACATAAAACCCTGTGGTGGACCGGATTTGGCCCGCGGGCCTTGAGTTTGACTCATGTGCTTTTAAGGTGAATGGTCAAGATTCATGCAAACGTTGTGATGATTGGTGAAAATGGCAAAGTTTGTGACTGACGATTGAATTTGAATTAACGGTTGCTATAGTTACAACACGGCTGAGAAACAAATTATGATATAAATATTTCATATCAGTCAATATTGATAATTATTGATTGGTTTTCTTGTTTTAACCATCTGAAATAGCACCAAACTGGTATCATGAGCTTTCCTGGTTTTTCCAGTTTTTATTCCACGCTGTTTTTTTATTTATTTTTAAGCAGTTATGAGGAGAAACTTTAAACTGCTGCTTTGGCGGTTACGCAACAGATTGCTGCTAGGTAACCAAAGAATGAATGAGTTGCTAGGTAACCAGAGAGCAGAGGGAGTTAGTTCTTGTCACTGCTTAGCTAAACTCTTTCCTCCATCTACATCTCCCAGAATTCTTTGCAGTTCTGGATCAGAGTTTGGTGACATCATTGATTATTCTACATGCCACATGTCATCTGTCGATATTGATCACGTGTCTACAGCGATATATATGCTGTTATTGGTTTATTGTCTCATAGTTGCGGTGGCGGCTGACTCGTGTTCCAGGCGCCGGTTCTGTTGCTCTGGGTTTTCACCTGCGGCCGTCTCGCAGCGGGCGCTCAGCGCTTGGTTCTCGGCCTCCAGTTGATCTCTGCGGGACACGACCAGCGCCAGCTGCTGCTGCGCCTCAAACAGACCCGTTTCCAGGGACTCCCGCTCAGACCTGCAGGTTCAAAGAAATGAAGTAACAAAGCCGATCTATTTTAGAGAAGCTGGTGAAGCTACAGCTTCAGGGTTTTCATGGATCAGCTGTGACCTGAAAGCAGCCAGTTCCTCTGACAGCGCCGAGTTCTCTCTTTCAGACGCCGTCAGCTGGACCACCAGAGCCGCTTTGTCCCGGGCCAGATCCGCCCGACCGCGGCCCGCCTCCTCCAGCGCCGCCTCATTCTTCTGTCCCTCCCCCTGGGCCAGGCTCAGCTCCGAGCCCAGAGACGCAACCTCGGCACAAAGCTGCCGACAGACGGAGAGAAAAACCCAGGAAATAAAGGTCACGAGTTCCTCTGGATCCGGGAAGATCTTCCAGAGTTTCTCCAGAATCCTCAGAGTTTTACATCAAAATAAAAATATTACAATTGACCATTGGGATTTCTACATCTGTCAGGCTTTAAATGTGGAACCAGCAAAAAGATAGGAAAGAATAAAAGAAAAGGACAAAAAGATACAAAGAAAATAAAAAAGATACAAAGAAAATAAAGGGAAAAACACTGGAAATAAAAGAAGGAACAAAAGGAAGAAAACAAAATCATATTTAGATATTCAGCTGGAGAATGAAGTCTGGAAAAGTAGATATAAATCTGGTCCATTCCTGGTAAATATGTAAACATTGTGACGTTCTGTTCCTGCTTGTCTGGACCTGTAAACAACAGACCCGGTTCGGTACCTGGGTCACCTTCTGCTGCAGCCGCAGCCTCTCCGCTCTGAGACTCTGCAGCTCGCTCTCCGTCCCGGCCCGGCTCTGCTCGGCGTCCTGCAGCGCCTGCTGCAGCGCCACGCGGCCGGCGTCCAGCTCCAGCCGGTCCTGCTCCAGACGGACCAGCTCGTCCCTGATGGTCAGCCGCTCCTGCTCCGCCTCGCGGCGCTGAGCCAGCAGGACGCGCTTCTCCTCCTCCAGCTGAGAGACGAATAAACAACGAAACCGGGCCGTGATGGATGACAGAGCAACTATAAACACAAACTTTACTGCTTCTTCTTGTCATGTCATAAACTAGAACTACGATTATTTTAGTTATCAATTATTCTGTTGGTTGTTCTGACAATTAATCAGACAGAAAAATTCTGCAGATTTTCCATTTAAGCCCCTTTATACAATATTAAAAGTACAGATAAATAATTGAGTTCCGTTTATAAATGACAAAGTAAACATTTAATTGTCTAAAATCCAATTAAAGCTTTCAGCAGTTAGTCATCTCTAATTCTGGTTCAAAGGGTTATTGCTAATTTATTGAGAGGGAAGGCAAAAGGAAAAGTTTCCTCCATGTCCACTAGGGGGCTTCGTACTCAAGCAGGATGTACTTCCTAAAAGGCCCAGCAGGGGGCCCTCACCTGGAGGATGTAGTTGTTGAGGTCCACCTTGTCCTGGGCCAGCGCCTCGTTCATGCCGCCCATCTTTGCCAGAGAGTCCCTGAGCGCCGCTTCCTCAGACTGCAGCCTGCTGAGCTGCAGTGACAGCTCAGTGCTGCAGCTCTCGGCCTGCGGGGAAAAAGACGCGTCAAAAACACAAAGATGCAGAGATTCTACTACATGGATGTTTGCCCCTTACCCGAGCCAGCGCTTCGGACAGCTGGGCCTTCTCGCGCTGCAGAAGCTGCCTCTCTACCTCCCCCTGCTGGTGGCTCTCCCTCACTGCAGACAGCTCTCCTCTCTGAGCCGATGCTCGGCTCTCACTCAGATCCCGCTGCTTCTGTCTGAACGGAGCAAAACACACAAGATGGAGGCCAGTCAGGACAACAACAGGTCTGGGTGGTAGTAATCCTTTAAAGCTCGTTTTTATTTAATTTTAATTTTTTGATTCAAGAGCTGCTTTGAGTACGAAACACGATAAAGGCCACTGAAAAAAAATTATTCTGACTTTAATCTCAGGATTTTATAACGGCATTTCAGGGTCAATGTAGATTAATAAAAAAGGAGTAAATTTCTGCCAAAAAACTGATATCATGAGTTTAATTTTAGAAATTTTTTTTAAAAATATGAAAATTTCCGACTTGAAACTAAAACATTTCAATTTTTTTTTTACTTTTGAAACTTAGAAATAAAAAAATGGTTTTGAATTCAGAAATTAAAAAAAAAAATACTTTTGAAACTCAAATGTTTGTGTTTTTCTAGAAAGTTTCTGAGATTAATTTCAAAAGTTCAGAATTTTCTAGCAAAGTTTTGACTTTTCAAACTCAGAAATTTCGAAGTTTTTTCTAGACGTTTTTAGGTGGAAATTTACTCATTTTTTTCTATCGACAAAGGCTCTGCTACAGCATCATATAATTCTGACTTTAATCCCAAAATGTCGACTTTAATCTCAGAATTCTGGCTTTTTTCTCAGAATCAGAATTGTTTAAATTGTTTATGCGCCATCAGGCTAATCAAGCCTTAAAACTCAAATCTACCAAATAAATCTGGGGCTGGGGTTCACTGTGGACAAAGTGCAGGTTTACAAATCCAATAGCTAGGAAGGAGCAGCTTTGCGATTATTTTTTATATGCTAACAATAACTGACATATAACAACTCAAAAGTAGAAGATTTTTGACTTTTGAAACTCAGAAAATTTCCCAAAGTCAAACTTGTTCTACTTTATGAGCTCAGAAAATGTCCATGTTTTTTTTTCTAGAGAATATGTGAAGATAACCCTAAAATTAATATTTTTCTTGAATATTTTTGATTTTTTTTTTGAGCTCAGAAATTTTACATTTTTACAAGAAGATTTCTGAGATTAATGTCTTAATTACGTTTTTTTGGCAGAAATTTACTCCTCCTTTCTTTTCTACCTACAATTGCCCTTATTCTCAGTCATCTTAAATAGTTTTTGAATATTTTTTTGTATTTTAATACAGATTGAATTAAAGTTCAGAGATTAAAGTCAGAATTAGGGATTTTTCTTAAAGTGGCCCTAATCCTAATCCGGTTGCTAGGCTTTTCTAATTAACTGTGTTTCTTTCACTAGCTAAAGAAGCAGCTGCAGTCTGGAAATGTGCTGAAAGCTCTCCGCTGCGTCTTGTTGCTCGCTGCTGTAAAACTGTGAGGATTAGTAACGTCCAGGTTCGATTATCCTGCTCACATCCTCTGGGTCTCAGCTTTGGCCCGGTCTCTCTCCTGATTGGCCGCCTCCTTCTCCTCCCTCTCGCCGTCTCGCTCTCGCTGAGCCGCCAGCAGCGCCAGCTGCAGCTTCTCGCGCTCCATCTGCAGCATCTGGACGCTGCTCTCCGCTGCCTGGACGCTCTGCTCCAGCTTCGCCTTCTCGCTGCGGGCGGGAATCACGGAGTTAAAACTCCGTCAGGATGAAACGGTGAGGAGGAGACGGTGACCCCTGACCTGGCCAGCGCGTCCCGGTCCTGCTTCAGACGGTCCTTCTCTTTCTGGGCGTTCTCTCTCTCTCGCTGAGCTGCGTCTCTTTCCCGCTGCAGCGCCTGGTTCCGCTGCTCCGAGTCTCGTCTGGACGAATCGGAGTCTGAAAGCTGCTTTCGAAGCTGCTGGACGGACGACTGGGCAGAGAGCAGACGGCCGCGGACGTCCTGGGAGCCAGACCAGTGATGAAGGTGTCGGCATAAATTTATCACGATGAATCGATTATTGGAATAACAATTTTAGGAATAAATTAATCGCTAACTGGAGTATGCAGACTCATAAGAAGCAGTTTGCTAAAAGAAAACTTGTATTTAGAATTTAAAAAAATGTTTGTCTGTAAATATGTAAAAAAAATCTCAATTAAGCACAGTTTGCTCTTCATTTACTAATCAATTAATTAAAATAAATAAATAAATAAACTGATTATAGTCCACTGATGCTGAGTGAAGACGAAGGACTGAGCTTTTCAAATGTAGATTATAAAAGTATTTTTTAGCTGCAAATGGCATTGTTGCAATAAATTTTATTTTCTTATTTAAAAACTACTTGAATATTGTACTTTTTAATATATTTCTAACCGTGTACAAAATAAGCTTACATGGTTACAACTTATTTAACCACTTAAATAAATTTAAACGATTAAATAAGCCACTTATTTAGCAAAATGATTTTTTTTAGCATCGTTTTGCTGATGGAAAATCAGCAGAATGTGACTTTTTTTTTATCCAACTAATCGATGAATTGTCAAGATAATCTGATTACAAAAATAAACGTATTATGTGAACTCAATCTGAAGAGGTTTTGTTGTTTATTTAAGTCAAATAATTGCGATTAATGAATTTTAAGCTTTTCAGCAGGAAAAGCTTCAACAGGACAATAAATTAGATTTGATCAACGAGGTTTAAATAACGAAAAATAACTTTTATCCTGCAGTCTGATCCTTTCATATCAAAGTATAAAATCCATTAAACTTCAACGGTTTCTGTTTTTTTTTTTACTGTGGATCTTTATCAGTAGGTTGTCACCTGTAGCTGCAGCGTCTTGTTTGCGACGGCTGAGCGGAGAGCGGACAGAGCTGCGTCAGGCAGCGGAGACGGCGAGGAGGCCGGAGGAGCGGTCGCCATCTTTAACGGAGAGGAGGACCGTCGAGCAGAGGCGTCACGGATCAGCGCCAGGAGCGGGGCCGCAGAGCGATCCTGGTCGGCTTCTGACGACGACTCCCCGTCTGACAACACGCTCTGCAGAACCAGTAGGAAGCATCCAGAGTGAGTTTTACACCTTCAGCAGGGCGTGTGGCTTTGGTTTTTGAAGATTTTGATCTTAATGGGTTTCCATAGGTCACAGTGACGCCTGAGGCCGCCATTTTGTTTGACAAGCGTGATTTACAACATTTATTTATTCAGACGTTAAATTCAGCTCAACTCTACGACAAAATATTGGATTCAGACCAAAAGACTAAAACCATAATATCACAAGAATACAGTTATATGATAAAAGAGCCTCTAGATAATATGAGAACCAGAATAAAGTTGTAATTTTTATGAGAATTCCTGCACACAGATTCCTCAAAAATTAAAATGAGGAATGTTGAGCATCCTGTGAAGTTATAATCCAATATAAGTTTTAGAGATAATACAATATTAAGTTGTTATCAGTAGCAGGACTTTAAAATGACTGTGCAAATAATTGAGTCTGTTTTGAAGAAAGAACGGCACGGACTGAACTCGTCTCATCAGATCCTGAGGAGATTTTATCTCATTAAAACAACTTTTTCTCATGACTTTAAGACGTTTTTATGCTATTAATGTGATTTTATTCCTGTGCTTAAACAAAGGCTCTCGTAACCTGGCCCTGATACTCTGCTGTACAGAAGCGACGCTAGTTATAAAAGCCACTTTTATTTTCTGTAGTTTCTTTTTAAGAAAAGAAAGCAAGCAAAACACACAACTGATAGAAATCAGACCTGGTGTGAAAAATTTTTGATTATTTTTTTAAGCTGTATCGTCCAGCCATATTTATTTATACCTGAGCGATGTCTCTCAGCGTGTCCAGCAGCATCTCAGACTGAGCTTTAATCAGCTGCGTGTCGGGCTCATCGCTGCCACTCTGCTCCTGAAGGAAAAGGACCAAGCAGAGACAGAAATGTAAAAATGAAAAGACCCAAGGCGCTGCGTCAGCCTCAGAGACGCTCTCTTACCTCGAACCTCTGCGTCAGAGTGGAGATTTCTGCGTCTCGCTCCACAATTTGTCCCTTCAGTCTCTCACATTCTCGCACCACGTCAGACAACCTGACAGTTCAGACAAAAACTGATGATTTTTACTATGAGTAAAAAAAGTGACCCGTTCACTGTTCCTGTTTGTTATACAATCCCTGACCTTATAGGGTCAGAACCAGAGCAGAACTTAAAGTATCTAATCTAAATGCTGACAGAACTTTAATATTGTAGTTCAATTTTGAAGTTCTTTTAGAAATAAGTTGTAATTTGATATTGTGACAAATTGCAGCCAGTGAATGAAAATGTTTTTTTTTTTTTAAATACATAAAATAATAAGATATTGTATTTCTTTTAATTCGACTCAACCGTTTATGAAGTACCGCTAACCCGTTAGTGGCTCACTAACCTGACGTTGAGCTCACTTTTCTCTGCTTCGGCTCTGCTCTGAAGGCTCATCATCTCCGCCGCTCGCTCCCTCAGCTGCTGCTCCAGCTGAACCCTCAGAGCCTTTTCTCCCGCCGCCCGACTGTCCACCGACGTGGACAATCCAGAGCAGGACACCCGGGCCGAGTGGGACATCCGGGCCAGCTCAGATCGCATTTCTGACAAGTCTCTGAGAGAAAAGAGAGGGAAAATGTTCAGGGTTCGTACGCTTTTTCCACAGTAAAATTCACTTTACACAGAAATCAGTCACTTTCAAACCTTCTCAAGGCTTTCAAGCACCCATCAGAACGCTGAAATGTTGAGTTTGTGATTTTATTTTTACCTTTCGGTGGCGCTCTTCATCTCGCAGACGTGCCTCCTGAAGCCAACCACTTGCCTCCACAGCTTCAGCAGCCGGCCGTGTTCGCTGCTGAAGTAGCTGTGGAAAGACTGAAGGCAGAAACAGGAAAAAGGTCTCAGCAGCTTCACCGATTTACTGTGACGTGAGTTGATGATTTTTGATGATGGAACTTGACAAAATATAATGTTTGTTTCTGGTTGCTCTGTTGTTGACTGTATGTTGTTTTTATTTTTGTGTTTTCATCATGTAAAGTTCTTTGAACTGTCTTGTTGCTGAAATCAAATAAGTTTGATTGAGTTATTAAACCAGCGATCAGGCCTGAAATCTGGGTGCAGTGATGGACTCTGACCTGAACCCTCAGAGCCACATAAAGACAGTCACAAAGTCGGCCTTCTGTCACCTGAAGAACATCTCCAGGATTAGAGTACTGATGCCTCAGTGAGATCTAGAGAAACTCATCCATGCGTTTATCTTTAGTTTCATTGATTACTGCAACAGCGTAAAAAAAAAATCAATCCTCCAGCTCCTGCTGATCCAGAACGCTGCTGCTGGCGTTCTGACTAAAACCAGGAAGTTGGAGAACATCACCCAGTTCTACAGTCCCTACACTGGCTCCCTGTAGCTAAGAGAATAAATTATAAAATACTGTTAGCTTATAAATCCCTGAACAGTTTAGCACCACAATGCATCAAAGATCTATTGTTGTCATAGCAACCTCCCAGACCTCTCAGGTCTTCTGGTTCTGGTTCTGCTCTGCATCCCCAGAACCAGAACCAAATATGTGTGAATCAGCATTCAGCTTCTGCAAACTTCCAGAAAACTGCAAAACAGCTGAAATGCCTTAGATTTGCTTTTCAACCATAATAACTGGATCATTGATCGATACATTTGATACATACTGACTTTGTTGATAGCGTTTGACAAAACGTAATGTTTTCGGCTCGGTTCATGTTGGGTTTCTCCATATGTTTGTGATGTAAATCAGTTTTGAACAGACAGTGCTTCACTGTCTCTCTCTCTCTCTCACCTCCTCCTCTCTCCTCCAGTCTGACTCCTTCTGCTCCAGCTCCTCCCGGGCTTTGGTCCAGTCCACGGTGAGCCTGCGGATGTCCTGGCTCAGAGCCTCGTTGGCCAAACCCGCCTGCTCCAACTGCTCCCGCAGCATCGCGTTCACTGCCGACAGGCTGCTGCTCCTGAAGGCACCACAAGCATCACTGACATCAACAGACCTGCATATCTTTCCACTGGAGTCAAACACAAATTATTCATTTATTTGAAATATGCTGAAGCTGAATCGAAGGTTAAATCCCCCTTCTGCTTTCAGCTGTAAGCAAAAACATGAAATAAACACGTAATGCTACACTGTATAAATGCCTCAGTTGTATTTTATTGGTTAAATAGTCAACACAAAACAACATCTCTACATTTATGCCGGACTTTTATGTTGAGTCTTAATTTGTTCCCCAATGTTTTCTAACAAACCTCTGAAATTCACAAACCAACTGCAGCAGCTTTTCTTTTTCTCCCATTTCAACAGTGGCCTGCTGCTTTGTGTTGGTTTTCCACACAAAGTCCCAATAAAATACTTTAGAGCTCTAATATGACAACAAGCTAAAACCTACTGAAGATAAAAACTGATGGATATGAAGAATTACCAAACCCAACTAAACTCTGCAGACGTTTTAACTCAGAAACTGTTTATACTTTAACTTATTCATATCTGAGTATCAATAGAGATTCATTGATATGTGAAGCTGATGGTTATGTTATTAGTTGTTTTTTCTGACAACTAGTCCGATAATTGGAGAAAGAAATTTAAAAATTCTGCGTATTTTTCATTTAACCACCTAAGCAAATTAAGAAATGCAATAAAGATACAAATAATCAGAGCTGTTGCCGTGCAGCAAGAAGGCTCTGGGTTCGATTCCCGGCCCCGGTCTTTCTGCATGGAGTTTGCATGTTCTCCCTGTGCATGCGTGGGTTTTCTCCGGGTACTCCGGTTTCCTCCCACAGTCCAAAAAACATGACTGTTAGGTTAATTGGTCTGTCTAAATTGCCCCTAGGTGTGTGTGTGTGTGTGCACATGGTTGTGTGTCTCTGTGTTGCCCTGCGACAGACTGGCGACCTGTCCAGGATGTACCCCGCCTCTCGCCCAGAACGTTAGCTGGAGATAGGCACCAGCACCCCTCCCGACCCCACTGAGGGACAAGGGTGTTCAGAAAATGGATGGATGGATGGATACAAATAATCAAGTTCCTTTTAAAATCAGAAAATAGTCATTTTATATATTTATAAAGTGCAATTATTTAGTGAACAGTTGATTATTTGTTGCAATACAGTGTAGGGCTAATCTATTGTCTATTTTTTGGATTAATTGATTAATAATACTATAGTAGAAGACGCTTAATAAGAGATTTCCTTGCAGAATTTCAACCAGGCGAAGCTAAAACTTTGAAACATGAGGAGTTTGGGTAGAACTTATGTACAGACAAATAGTAGTTTTTTATTTTAAAGGCAAAACAGGCACACGAATATTATAATACGATTTTAATTACAAGTTTTTAATAATTATGAAATCGGTAGGCAATATATTTCATTAAATTGAGATAAGAGGTGGGGTTAAGTAAATGTTTACTTCTTCCTACTCCAAACAGAAAAGTCGCAGTACACTAATTATTTTGTTCTTGGTTATATATGCAGATGTTTCTCTGTCTTACTGATTATTTAATTCTCTTGTTTTTAAAAACCTGTTTGAAATAAATAAATAAATTTTTAAAAAATTTATCTATATATTTCTACACAGTTTTTGGTTTAATGTTCTGAGTGAATTGTTATTTCATCAAACAGCTTTTTTGAGCCTGTATACTCCAATTAACAATTCATTTATTATTAAATAGTCTGAGGATTATTTCAGTAATCGATTGGTTATGATTGATCCGATTGATCGTGAATCTCCACCTCTGCTGCTCTTCCTCCAGCCGGATCAAAGCTTCCTCCAGGTTGCTGCTCACGTCTTCCTGATGTCGTCCGTTTGACGTTTCGCTGTTGCTCTGAAATTAATTATCCAATTAGAAAACGACTCTGCAGACAGAAAACAGCTTCATGGTTTTCAGTGGGAAACGCCACCTACACCCACCGTGCCTTTCTCCACCTCGGAGGATTTCTCCTGAAGCATCTGCTCTAGATCGCCACATTTCTTTTTGTACTGCAGAACCTGAAGAAGAAGAAGAAGAAGAAGAAGAAGAAGAAGAAGAAGAAGAACCATCATCATGATGCTTCACTGTAAAAGCCGCTCAATTAAACACAGAGGTGGGTAGAGCACCCAAAAAATGTCATCAAGTAAGAGCAGTGATACTTCAACATATTTTTAGTTAGATCATAGGGAAAAAGTAGCCATTCAAGAAGTTATTCAAGTAAGAGTAAAAAAGTGTTTGGCAAAAAGTCTGAATAACTGATCAAATTTCCATAAGGAGGCAGCGGAGGGAGCGTCCGTAATAAATCTGCTCTTAAGGACGCAGCCCTCCGTCTCCAACGCCGAACCATAGATTCGTTCACGCCGAGTTTACCAGGTCGATAACCTTCAACTTAAAGCGGCATCATATGAACTTCTTCCTGTGGTTTCCATGATGAGGGGGTTTGAGTTTGAAAACATTTCTCCGTCGTGCCTGCTGCTAGCATGTGCTTGTTCCAAATGAAAATTAGCGCGTTCTTCTTTGATTTCCAATTTTGACTTCCAATGATTCACTTCCTGCTAAAGAGCCCCCTGGTGGTTGAAGAAAAATCCACAGAAAAGCCGCACCGGGCTACAAGCCGCATGGTTCAAAGAGTGGGAAAAAAGTAGCAGCAGTCCAAAAAATACAGTAGTTACTACGAGCTCCGGTCTGACCCGGCCCACCTTCGCCTGCAGCTTCTGCACCAGCTGCGCCTGCCTCTGCTGGCCCTCCTGGTAAGCGGTAAGTTTACGCCTGTAGGCCGCCTGCTCCTCGTCCAGCCGTCGCCGCAGGTCCACGTTCTGCTGGGCCAGGCTGCGCGACTCGGGCGAGTCGAGGTCGCCCTCCCCGGTTTCAAGCCGCAGCGCCTGCTCCAGCTGAAGGAGAGACAGAGGGAAGAACAAAATGGATTTTAATTTAAATATGGTTCTAACATGATGAAAGTGTTTCTTTTTCTTTCTCTGCTTCGTTTTGTTGGGTATAACCAAATATTATAGGGGTGCATGTATATATCTGAGCCTTTGTGGATCAACAATAAATTCAGATTTATAGCTAAATGATTATTATTCCACAACATGATTCAAATGAAATGAGTAAGTTAATCGTATCATAAATAAAAATGAACTTGATCATTTCCATTCTGATTATGAAGGAGAATGATGTTTAAAGGGACTTCTTAATACATTTTATTTATGGTTTCTGTTTTGTGTGGTTTTAATGTTTGTTTAATTTATTATTTTTGGTTGTTATTTTCCATTTTTTATATTTTAAAATATAGTCCTCCACTTCCAGTGTGAAATGTTTTTTGTAAAACTAAAGTTTATTGATTTTGAGAGAGCAAATTTGCATTTTTATGCAATCTTTGTATACTTTTGTTAACCTTGCTTTGTTTTCGTTGTTCCTATAGTGATAACATATAAAAGAAGGGAAAATAAAAAAATATTTTTTTCTTTCTTGTAAAACATAAATAATATAAAGTATAAATTTAGTTGAGTGTGTGTAAACTTTTTACTGAAATCATATTAACTTTGCTACAGCTGCCTTTGGGAGCAGGTTTATGATTTTTGCTAATGTTCGACCTGAATCCAATCAACAAGCCACCATATCCCTCCCTTGCTGTGAAGCCCCTGTTTACAATCTCCCGTGGCAACGGGCGCTATGGCAACATTCCACTCCACTTCATTCCATCCCCCGTCACCTGGGAGACCCACAAATCTGAGACAAAGACAAACCGGGAAGACAAAAAAACGGGGGAGAGGCGGGCATTCCTCCCAAAGCTTGTCCAGACCAGACACTTGGAGAATTTTTTTTATTTTCCCGCCTCACGTCGCCCCAGTTTCGGTCAGATTCGGCGTACTGTCCTCACCCTCTCGCTAATGGCGCCGTACTTGATGGCGAGCTCGTCCCGGTCGGCTCTGCTGTGGGCCAGCAGGTCCTCCAGCCGGGCCAGCTCTCCCTGCAGAACCCGGTTCTCCTCCTGGACGGACATGACGGAGGACATGGCCCCAGCTGCTGACAGAGAAAAAAAAACCCGCTCTGTTTTAGATGGACAGCATTAGGGATGAAACGATTAATTCAAGTAGTCATGACAAATCAATTATTGAAATAATCATCAACTAGTTTAGTTATCGATTAATTATTAACTGGAGTATAAAGAGTCTACAAAAAGCATTTGCTGAAAGAACAACACAGTCAGAGCAGTAATTAAACCAAAAAACTTTACAGAAAATATATACATTTTGCTGTGAGCGTGTCACCTAGTTCAGATTCTGTTAAAAAAAATCTCCTTTTAGGCACCTTTTGCTATTCATATATTAATTCTGTTAGTTAAAAACATAAACACACGTCACTGTATTGATGTTAATCTCAGCAGAAAGAGCTGAGCTTCTCACATGTTGATGTTAGAAGTATTTTTTAGCTTCAGATTGATCCTTTGCTACAAATGATCAAGCATCCACTAACAGAATTGTATTTTAGGCAATAATATGTTTATTTTCTTATTTTTTAAAAAAGGAATTAAATTATATGTTTATTTGCATCTTTTAATGTATTTCTAATATTAAATAAAAAGGGCTTCTAATGAAAAATCTGTAGATTGTGTAAATTTTGTAATCGATTAATCACCAGATTAATCAATTAATAAAGTTGAATTCAGACAGAAATTAGAATCCATCAGCTGCTCCTACTCTTTGAGATGGGATGCTTTAATGTATTTCTAATATTGTATAAAAACGGATTAAATCTGCAGGATGTGGCCATTAATCACCAGAATAAGCAACAGATTAGTCGATAACTAAAACAGCAGTTAGCTGCAGCTCTAGACTACATAAGGACGAGGAAGGACTCACTGGTATCGTTGAGGTTCTTGGTGACGATCTCTCGGACTCTGGCCGGCAGACATGTAGGGGCCGCATCCGGTGACGGGCCCCTGACGGTCAGCCTCTTCTCCTCAGACAGGACGCTCTCCTCCAGCCGCTGGTTCAGATGAAAAACAAAGACCCACAGCGGCTAAGTTAGACGTTTTGATGATGCAATCACCACAGCTACGGAGTTTGCCCCAATTGCCCCATCAGCTCGCCGTCAGCGCATTATGAAAGCGCTGAGGTGAGATCCCGGGGGCCTCACCTGGATCACCGACTCCAGCTTGTTGGAGTCGGAGTTTTTCTCACCGCTCATTGCCGCTGTTTCCAAATCCCCCAGGAAAATAGGATTAACTCAAGATGAATTCCCAAACAGAGCGACGGTCGCGTCTTTCCCTCCTTTTCCAGCCGGTGCAGAAAAAAGGATAAAAGTTTCCCACTTTAATCTGATGACGTTTCTGGTGAGTTTTTGGCAGCAGAGGAGCGGAGCGCGTCCGTCCTGCCGTCTCCTCAGAGACTCAGACGCAGATTGAGGACAGCAGGATTAGCTGGTTTTAAAGTGCCACCCTCTTCCTCCTCCTCCTCTTCCTCTTACACCGTTACCACTCTTTGTGTTTGAAATTAAAAGCCTTCACACACCTCTGCTATTCAGCCTCACGACAAAGAGAAATAAAGGCCAGAAAAGAGAGGAGATATCATAAAAAGCTACAGGAGGTTATTAACTCGTAAATAAATTTGAATATCATGTGGGGCTAATATTTATACCTGCTTGTACTAAATTTTGCAGGACTATAAATATTGTTGTTTTGGTATCATTGACAAGTAATTTTTGGTAGGAATATTAATTTGCATGTTTATAAATGTGTCAGAATTAGCCAAAATGCTATTTTTCATCTGTCTTTCCTGGACAATTAGTAGTTTACCTTGTTAAAACCAAGCAAACGTTTTACAAACAAGGTTAAAATGACTTGGCAATACAGATTTTGTCAATAAATGCAATCAATGCCAATAGTGATTACAAAACATGGAATCTACAACCAATGTGTCACATTAAGGAATAAATAAATTCATTGTATGATAAATCAAAAGGAGCTCAATAATTTCTATTCCAATGATTAATATTTCTGAAAGCTAATTTTGTTTACAGAGACTCGTAATCCATTTTATTTATGGTCTGGGTTGTGGGGGGTTTATTTAGATTTTATTTGGTGGTTTTAGTTGGTTTGTTCATTGTTTTGGATATTTAAAATGTCTTCTAAGTCCAGTGTAAAGTGTTCCTCACTAATTAAAGTGTATTGATCTTTCAGAAGGCGAGTTTGTGCCTTCATCAATATATTACTTAACGATGTTATCGTTTAGCACAATAATTTCTAGGACAATTTATCGTGACAGGCCTACGCATAATTATAAAAAATATAAGAAATAATTAAAAATAAATCAATCTGTCGCCTATGTGACAAAACACACCTGGTCATATGGAGGGATAATATATTGATAATGAAAAATTAATCCAAGATTGCCTCTCAAATACCAATTAACTTTAAAGAAAGAACTCTTAGCACTGGAACTGGAAGATAGTTTAATTTTCAAACTAGAACCCAAACTCATACTTAAGTGTGGAGAGTTGTTTTCCATATCCTACAACTAAAAATCAGAAAAGTGAGGCATAATTTCATATCCAGCCCCACTAAGACATTATGCACTATTTCACTAAACAGCCTTTGACTGGGATAAGCACAGAACGTCTTCAGACTAAAGTTTTTGTCCATTTCTTCTTAGGAAATGTCTGAGAACATCAGTTTGCTGTAGATTCCCATTTGGTCACAGGTTTGGGCTTTTAATAGGCCGTTCCAGCAGATAAACATGCTTTGATCTCATTTAACTCTGGTTGTTTGTTCTGGGCATTTCCCATCCTGAGAGCAGAACCTCATTGAGAATCTGAGGCAGACTTAAAAGCTGACATTCACAGACAAACTTCATTCAATCTGAATGAGACTGAGATGTAAACTGGTTTCCTGAAAGCACCGCAGTCACCTAAAAAAACCCAAAATATATCGAGGTTTTTTGTTGTTAGCATGAATAAATGTGGAACAACTCAGCAGGTCTGGATGGACGGTACCAGAGTAACTACAGAGTAACTGCAGGTCCACTTACTCTGGTGGTTAAACCCATTTTTCACAGCTTCAGAACAGAAACATGGCAAACATTAAACACAAGGAGAGATTCAGTGATGGCGACAGTGTCATAGTTACACACAAGGTCATTGTGTCATCACAAGGCACCCCACACACACACACACACACACACACACACACACACACCTCCCTTTATGTTGCAAATTTAAGGGAGATTTTCCTTGTCGTTTATAGTAAACATGACTGTAAACAGTCATTTGCAGAGGCAGGAATAAAATAAAATCCCTTTGAAATAGCTGAAAATTTCACCTAAATTAAAACATCTTAACACTGAGAACATTTTACACAGAAACATAGCCACATATTTGTGTTTTTTGTTCTATTTTTGAGTTAAAATAAACTCAATCTGAACTCCAACGGTTCAGTTTCAGTTTGAATTTTATGCCAGTCGCCCCCTGCTGGTCTGTTTATCACACTGCAGATGTGAAAACTTTGAGCTATTTTTAATGACAGCGAGAGAAATATGAATGAACTGATCTCCCAAAAGCAAAAACAGCATATTTTAAAATTTATTTAAGAATTAAAACCTTGAAAATGCGCTTCATTTGTAGTCAAGCTCAGCTTCCTCCTCTTCATTTGACATTAAAGGTGTTTGAAGTCATAAAAAGGGAACACGGCCAGCTTCTGTGATTCATCATTAACATCCTCTTTACCCTGAAAGCCTTAAAACAAACAGGGGCTTAAACACAAAAACACGCCTAAGTTCCCAAAAAGCGGAGCGGAGTTGGAGGCGGGACGAGGAGGCTGCAGCAATCAGAGACTTTTTATCTTCTTTTTATAAACCATTAAAGCTTTATCTTTTAAATATAACCTCTGAAACACAGTCTATTCAGGCAGCATCGGAGTAGGTATCGGTATAAAACGCATCGTGCATCGCTAGCAGCGGCTCTAGCAGTTAAGATATCCACTTCCCTCTCTGACAAACAGCCTCACCTCCACTCCTCGATCTGCTCCGAGCTTTTTACTCCGTCCTCCATCCCTCACAGTCCTCTTTGTGGTCCATACATGCAGAGATAAATCCCGGATCCAGAGGCGGCAGCAGGAGTTAGACCACTAAATGTCTGCAGGAGCTGCTGCCTTCTTGTTCCGAAATCTTCTCCATGCTTTTTCCGGGGAGGGACTTCCAGTTCACCCAGCATGATGGTCTGCTGCTGCTGCTGCCATCACAGGATCCCGCACAGTCACTTTCAAATTAACCACCGGGTCTCAAATACGCTGTAAAATATTAATTCAATCCACTTTTTCAAACTTTTTAGTGAATTCTGGTGGATTCAGTTCAGTTTTTCCTGCCGAAATTGTCATTTGTAGATGTGAAAAACTGCGGGGTTTTCACTGTTTTTGTGTTCCGATAGATTAAATAAATAAATCCTGAACACAGAGGCGATTCAAGCGATTGACACATTTAAACGTATTCAAATAGTTCTTTATTCTGGCTTGAAAGTGATCCGTTTGAATTATTTCTTATGTTTTATAATAATTGTGTTGTAATTTTGTTTGCATTTACCGTTTGTACTAATTGACAAAATTTGCCATAATTTGTCTAATTGTGGCACATTTACAGAAATGTTAGTAAATAAAAAAATAATCCGTTTCAAAGCAGGTCTTAATATGATTTTATTTAGGAATATCAAAGTAAAGGAGGCTGATATATAAACATACCAAAACACTTTTAAGATTTTAAATTATAAAAAATATAGAGAATTAAATCACATTTCTAATTTGTGCTGGTGCAGCACGCTGGCTGTAAAATGCTTAACCTGCTTTACTAAAATCCATTCATATTGGTAAAATATGAATTATTATCTAGAATTATTATTTGATGAAAAACAAAGGGAAACCATTTAATTTACAGAGAATAAAACCAAAATATGCATGCAATGTGTTTTATAGATGTTTGAATGAAAAAGTATCTGCAAATTTATTGCGTGTTCACACACGCACACACACACACACACACACACACACACACACACACACACACACACACAGAGAGAGAGATAGGAAGCAAGGAAGGAAGAAAAGACACAAAGGGAACAAAAACTAAGGAAAGAAACAAACGAAACAAGAAAGTAAGGAAGACAACGAAGGAAAGAGTGAAGGACGGATGTTTAAAGGAAGGATGGAAGGAGGAAGAACAAAAATAAAGAAAAGTGCAGAATAAAGAACAGAATGAATTTCACAAAGCAGCGATGGAAAGAGGGGGACAGAAGAAATTACAGAATACCACTGAATGAAAGGAAGAACAAAGGAATAAAAAAGACGAGAAAAAGAAAAGAATGACAAATACAAGGAAGGAGAGAAGAAAGGATGGATTAAACAAGATAAGAAGGAAAAACAACATTTAGACAGAGGAAGGGAAATCAAGTCTTAAAATATAAATATCTTTTGTTTCCTGTGAGAATAAAACATCGAACTCCAGATGATTTTGCATCAAGTGATTCTGCAGCTGTAAATCTGAGCTGTGAAGATGATCAAACAGAGATTATTCTCTACAACGACAGTCAAAATAAAACAAACCTGTCAAATATACACTTTATTTACATTGTTTTTATATATTTCAGGGGTCTTCCCAGGAAGGCACTTCATCAGGAGGAGAAAGAAAAGCAGATTCATTTTGGGTAAAAAGGTGCGACCCAGAAAGGACAGACGTAACTGAGGCATTTATACGATCATAACTGAAAGCACGAGAATCGATTCTTCACACCAAAAATGATTTAAAAGGAAACATGTGACCTAAATCTGATTATCAAACATTAAGAGAGGTTTTGTGATTTATTAAAACAAGACGGGAATAAAACAAAACAAAGGAGAACAGAAGTGCTGTTTTACAGCCGGGTGAACGAGGGACACTTTCTCCCAACATGAAAGTTTGAGATGAGTGACATTGGCGCGAGGAGATCGTTCTGGGACAGAAAAACAAACCGTGATGTCACAAAAAGAGGCGACAAATCTGATTGGAGGAGGTCAGTGAAACGACTACGCGGAGCTAGAAAAATCAAGGAACAAACCATTAAAGGCGGCGAATAAATATCTTACACAGTTAGTGTGACAAGACGACGATTCCCTTGTTTTAAGAAGTAAACTACTGCATAGCAGAGTGAAAAAGGAGAGCTGTAAAAATATCCACTTTAACTTTTTGTTCCTTTAGAGTGTGTTGGTCAGCGGAGCAGAGAAAATTCGCCAATGAAACTGTAAAATCTCCGCACACGTTCTCAAGCTTCTTTATGTCAACAATCGTCCTGTCTGCAGGAATGTAAGGAACCTGAGAGGAGGCCTTTTGTTTCTCACTGCTCAGCTGAACTGCACCCATCCTGACTTGCCGGCGTCTTGGTTGGAGCTGC